TCCATATTAGGTAGAAATAGAATAAGTTAAGCTTTTGTATAATATCAAATAAAAATATAAATTGACGTACATACTTCTTCAATAGCTTTTATATAAGGATATATAAGTTCGTTTACTGATGTTATCCAAACTGATGTTTTTTTCAAAAACTTAATAAACTCAAAGTTATTTATTGGGTTCAAAATGTAAAATGCATCTCTGGATCATATTGAATTGCTCTGTAAACTGTTTTTAACCTAAAGTAATAAAAAAATTCGAACGTGACTAATATTAATGAAACTTTTTAACAATATTATTATTTCAATGATGAATATCTACATAAACTATTTCTGAACTAAATGAGTTCATCTATCTAGAAAAAGATTCTCCTCAACATCAATTAGATGCAATGACTTCTCGTATTAAAATAATTTTTAATATAGACATCCTGAAATTCCCAGCTGGAACATTTTAATATTTTCTCTCATTTTCAATTAAAAAAGTAAACAAGAAACGAATTTAAATGCACAAATTAAGACATCATATTAAATTTCAAAATGAAATGATTGACTTGAAAACACTTTATTCTAAGTTCTTGCCAGCAATATTTTATGCCCACTTAAAAATGATGCAATGAATAATTTAATTATTTTTAAACGTTCAATCAGTGTTGCATTCTGGCCATTTGTTTGGATCAGATAAATTCTGAGACAGAAATTTATTCATAAAGATTGATTCTATATGAAGATAGAAAATCTAATCTACACAAAGATTATTTCTACATAAAGATTCTGTCTACATAAAGATTTGATGTAGATGTCTTTAATTCTACATTCTTCTCTGATGTAGACCTGGAAAAAATGTAGAATTGTAGACATCTACATCGAATCTTTATGTAGACAGATTCTTTATGTAGAAATAATCTTTGTGTAGATTAGATTTTCTATCTTCATGTAGAATCGATCTTTATGAAGAAAGTTTCTTAGCTAGACAAAAACTATTGAAGAATCTACATTCTTCATCTAGTGTAGACATCGACATTTGCAACACTGCGTTCAATTTAAGAATTTCTATAAATGATGAATCTCTTTATATATTTAAAATAAGCTCCTTACATTAGGTATAAAAATTATTGGCATTTTTTTGCATACTCGCATCCAAACGAATTTAACAAGATGAGATAAAAAGCCATGTGAGAATGGAAAGTGATGGATTGAAATCAACTACATCCTTTGTTTCCGTTAATATTCCAATAGGAAAAATAAACCAGGATTTAATAATCATTTTGAAAATGTCATCACTTTCTGAAGTAATTAATCGTTTTCATTTTGAAAATTTGCCAAAAAGATCGTTTTGAAAACAATGGAAAAATAAGCCGTGACTGTGTTGTTTTGAATCTATGAAAATATTGACTTGCTTTTTGAAGCTCTTGATTGAAAACTCTGGATGCAAATTCAACCTTGAAACAGCGATTAAGTTTTAAATTTAAGTGATTAGCTTTGAAGCTTAAGCTTCAACAAGAATCTAAACTAAATCTTAAACAAGAAATTAAAAAACCAAAACTTTTATTGCGTTGGGTTTTAGTTTCTCGTGATTTTTGTAATTTTAAAAATAACAATAGAATGTGAATTATTACTGACAAAAACCAAAACAAAAGTTGAAGCCAAATATGAAAAAATATTTTCCCATTAAATGAATTCTTTTTAAAATATACAAAATCAAATTAGTGAAAAATGAAAAAAGTAATAAAAAAAGTCTTATCTAAAATTTAAAAAATTCGAAATCATTTCAATTTACGACAGTTTTTGTTTGACTGAATTTTACATACGAATGGCTGATAATAATTAATTCTATTTTAATGTCGGGTCGGAACCAATTTAACAGCCGAAAGATTAAAAAAATTCTTTTTGATTGATTTATTTACTTCCAATTGACGCTAAATTCTGGCAGTTCAATAATTTTTTTGTCAACACCAAAAATGTATGGAGCATCCTGTCATTCATACTTTTTCAAAGTAGAGCAGCTTTTACTATGAGTTAAAAATGTTACAGACATTGAAATAAATACCAATTCATTTAAAAATCAATTTAATTGCCATAATTTAAAAATACTTGAGCATTAAAATATAAGAATGATAATATCTGATGTTCCTAAACTAAAAAACAGTTGCATATCCAAAATGAAATTGATTTGCTAATTAGATATTGTTAATATACCAAATTACTTATTTTAGATAATTCAAAGATCAAGACCAGATTTTTTTATTCAACTTAACCATTCTAGTTGTTTAGGTTTCTTAAAATTAAAAATCAAAATATGACTTGATTTTGCTTTCTTGATATTAGTATTCAACAAATCAATGATTTGTGTCTGTTGGTATCAATTTAATATTTTGAGGAAATTATTTATTGACTTTGCTTTTTAGTGCCTTTTTCAATTTTTATTTCTTTTATTATTATTTTTCACCTCTTCTAATCTTTATGTTTTCATTGTAAACGGAAAAAGGATAGAAATTGGTAACATGAAGAAGATTTGATACGAATCTGTAATTACATTTGAAAAAGATACATTTTCTTCAGAAATTAATTTGTGACCTTTATTTTCTCTCAAAACTTTTGTATATAAAGGACGCTAGAGAGAAAATTTCTGACACCATCAATCCATGAATTGTCCTTTTATGTCACTTGACAAATATTTTTTTGGATTTATTGAAGATCCTCTTCACAACTATTTGTCATACAGTTTTAACACGAAGTTGTTTCTTGAATTATCAATATTTCACATATAATGTCAAGTAATTAAGGAGTCTAAAGCTAATTTAAAATTGTGAGTTTAAAAACGGCGTGGAATCTGTCCACATTTTCTGCTGAGTACTTATCTTTTTAAAATACACAGAGATTCAAAAAAGTCATTTAACTCCTCCAAAAAAGTGTAACTTTTAATTGCATTAAAATTCATGAAATAAATCGAAAGTTTGTTTATGTTTATCTTAAAAATTGAGAGCCTCATTTATTCTGAAAATCTAGATTAAGATTCTCGGTCGGTCTGCTATTTAAAAATATCTTTGATGATACTCAATTTTCACATTTTAAAAATTAATGTCGCACAGTTCACGAAATGTTTATCCTGGCATTAATAAAGACTTAATATTCTTGCTAATGAACTCTATAAAAACGCACCAAAACAAACAGAAATTCATTTTTTCTTGGTATGAAAATTTAAAAATATAATTAACAAGCAAAACATTGAATGAACCTAAGAGTCGTTCATAAATGACATCCGGTTCGACTTGTTTGAGATTTTTCTATTAAAACAACCTAAATAATAGATATCATAAGTAAATGACACATCAACAGCTTCAATATGTGTATTTTTAATAAGAAAAGTTTGAAATTGATGCCGGAAAGGATTATTCAATGAATGTGCTAGATTTCCGAGGTACAAGAGTAAAAATCCGAGTCATTTGTATAAACATGTGAATATTGACTTACGAAACTTTAATTAAATTTTCTTGGGAATGAATTTATTGAATTGGAAATGAATATTTTGTTTATTTCTTCTCTCTCACTAGACTTATTACGATCTCATTGTGTCAATAATATTGGACTACTTATATAAAAGAGATGTGTATGAGAATAATTATTCTCTTACACAAAAACACAGTCGTATTAACGACGCAAAAGCTGCTTTTATCGTTTGGATTCACATTAATACCCTAATGGAATTTTATTTGATTCAAAAACCAAACAACTGATTCTACGAATAAATTCCTGTCTATTAGTAATAGGGCAATCGATATTAATTACAACGTATTTGCGAAAAATTCAAAAAAACAGTGTTAATCATATTAGTTCACTGTTACTCTTCAATATGGAATAATTGGAAAGTTATTAAAAATTGTGATCATTCTCAAAATATTTTTAAAATTTTTTCATTTCTTCTCGTTACTTATGAACTTTTAAAATTCATTTTACAATCAAATTCAAAAATCTTTTTCATTTGTAAATCTTTTATAAATTGTATTGAATTGCATTTTAATTTTTTATTCCTGCTATTTTTTGTAAACTTCTTGAATCTTTATTTTGTAACCACTTGAGATTTTTTTCTTCAATAGATTGTTCAAACTTAATCTCTTAAACTGACTTAATATATGATATTAAAATACTATGAAATAAATATGAGTAAAGCAGTTTTGAGTGATCTTAAGTTTCAATCTAATAACTTAGATACTAACAAAATGCACTTACTTCGTATAAATTTATGAAAAGCACACTGACACTGAGGTCGAAGAAAAAATGAGAAATCGAAATAAATTCAATTTTCATTATTTGAAATGATATTTTGAGAAAAGATTTGCATTTCCTACATAAATAAGATAAAAAATTCGTACAAAATTTTCTCAATTTTAGAAGCGTTTCAACTTTTCAATTTTTCAACAGAATTTTTTTATTGGTTTTTTTTGTTCCTTTTTTTTATGACCTTAGTGTGATTTTCAGCAAATTTAAACGAAGTTGATGCTCCGTGTATGGTAATGATCAGAGGCTAAATAAACCCAAGCTCTGTGATATGGAGTTTTCAATCAGAATACGCTTCATTCTCAAAAAATTCTATTATCTAGTAAATGAAATTTAATTTTAAATGTTTTAAATGCATCAAAAACATTTAGCTCTCTATATTATAAAAATAAAAGCATCTTCTTATTCCCATATGAATATATGCAGTAAAACTTAAAATTGAGTTCCATCACAAAAAAAAATCCATTCATTCTCTCTTTTGGTATGTGCATGCATGTTGCATTTATAAAGAAAAATCTTATTACTGAAAAAGCTTTGGAACTAACTGACAGAAGCACGTTGAATTTTTTATTTACAATAAATTGAGACAAATTGAAATTTTCATAATGTTTTTGAAGAGAAAAATCGATTTTGTGCAGGAACAATGAATCAAAAACTGAATTGAATTGTTTATCAAAACTTCATTCAATAATAAAATTAATGTTTCTTTATTCTTTTCTTTTGCAGTAGCTCACTGTTATCAGCACGTCTTAAGGCTTTTAAAATGAGCCTCGACCAAGTGGAGCTTGTTAGCAAACTCCTTCGAGCATCAAGGAATTGTAATGAACTTCTATTAAAGGACTGTTTTAAGGATATCTTAGAAAATGGAATTACACCAAAAGAACTGAATGCAACAGACAAAAGTGGAAGAGTAAGAATATAAATGATTATTTAGAAAATAGACAATAAGGAGATAAGAACATTTTAAGATGGAATATAAGTCATCTTATAAGATATTATTCAGTTTTTGACAAAATATTCCCTGAAATCACTGTCAATGATTTATTTGTCATTTGATTCAGAAATGAAATTCACAAAAGCATGCAAGAAGATGTAAAACTCGTAAAATATACAGTAGAATCACACAAGCTACTTGAACAAAAATATTTCAATTCACGATGCATTCCAAAATTGGAATTTTTCAAACCTCACATTTTATAGTTTTAGTCGTCATTTGTTAATAACCCCTCAAGATCATTTTTTCATCAAGATTGAATGTTTGATGTTATGCTGGTTTATAGCTAAAATAAAATATGATTACAATATTTACTCAAATCCCTTAAGCTATAACTCTGATTTCATATTGTAACATTTATGCATGTATATCAACAATAAGTGTTAGACAATAAACAGCTTCTTATTGAAGTTTGTACATTTTTCAAAATGTTTATTTGCTCAATTTACAATTTGTTTATTATTCTTTAGGTTTCTTCATGTAAACTCTGAAAATAAATTCTAATTTTACATTATTTGAAACTATTAAGCCAACATGCGTTGATTACTCATTCATCAGATGTGAAAATATTCAAGTACTTACATCATTGGATATTCTTTTCCTAAATCAACCATGCTTTATGGAGCACTTCTGAGATAAAAGTCACTTTAAATCATGTTGATATAATTGTAAACTAATACAAAAATAGAATCATAAATCTAAGCTTTAATAGCTTTATTTTAAAGACAAGATTTATAGAAAACATGAAAATCAAACCACTGTAAATAAAACGAGAAGTTATTTATAGACTGAGCTTAGACGAATGAAGCTGACAATGATGCTGTGAATTTAGAACAAAAGTCGTCAACCGTCATACTTGCAATTCATTTCCCAGTCTTTATATTTTATTACAGTATGCTGTGATTTTCATAGATACATGTCCTATATCACTTTTTTTATCACTAGCTTTTTACCACAGTTGTCTTGTTATTTATGGACCGATGAGTGAAGAATTAATTTTCAATGGCTTCAAATGAAAATTCTTTCTCAATTGATTTTCTATACTTGATAATAATAGTCAACCAGTATTATACTTACAATTTGATAAGTTGTATGTGACTTTTTAAAAAACATTCAATATTCTGAGTTTTTAATCCTAGCTTTTAAATTGTAGGATGTCTAAAGCCATCCTACATAAATTCTATAATATAATCAAATTAACATAAAATCATAAATCTTTATCAGTTCATTCATTAGTACGAAGAAATGTTTATTTATTGTTCTCTAACTTGTTGCTTTTTTTCACAGACTGCGTTATCGTACATATGTTCAACAAATCTCACAAATTTCCTGGAACTGTTTCTACATTTGCCAGGCATCGATGTCAACAAACCAGATAATGAGGGAAATTCAGCACTACATTTTGCAGCACAAGCAGGTTCTTATTGATTTTTTAATTCCACATGTCCTCATTTCCATGCTCTGATTTATTCTATCTGACTGACGGCACAAGACAGTGCTTTATGCATTGTATCCATAAAAATGATAAACATGTGCACGGCTTTAGATTATTAATCGATATGTCTACGACTGTAGTAATGTCTTTTCCATTTTTAATGAAGTGTTTAAATTGAGTTCAGGCTGACTTTTAAAAATTCTGATGTGAAATAATTTATGGAAAAATATGTGATAAGTAGAAAGGGAGTAAATAATACGATAAATGCAGTAGTACGCTCATTGAAAATTCTATTTTGACTTTCAAAGCATTAAATTTTAAAATAACGTTTGTGTACTTTTTGTCATATTGACATTTTTATCCTTGTTTGGTCCGATTCCGCAATATTTTTTCCGAGTTCATTTTTAACCAAAAAGTCGTATCCTGATTATATTGAATTTTTCTCTTTAATTGTTGAAATAAATCGTTAAATCGGTCATCAATGAACTTATAATTGGATTATCGAGGACTGAGCTAAATAAAGTTTTTAATTCTGATTGTATTGCATGTTCATTTACTGCGAATATACATAATTATCATATTATATGGAAGTTTGCATGCAGCCCATTTTTTTTATCATTGATTGGAAGAATATGAACAGTCAGAGTAAAAATTTAATTGATAGACAAAGAACTGACGATTTTAAAATAGAATATTAAGTAAGATCTATGGCTATTTACAAGTAGCTTATTTGAATAATGCAGCAATTAGAAAAATATTGAATAATTGATGCAAGCTGTCAAAACAAAAGCTAGAAATAGCTTACTTTTAAACAGCACACTGCAAATATATTTGGGACATTAGTCAGAGGAGCCAAGTTTTTTCCTAGAAAGCCAGATGTATCATACTACCATGTTAGATATTTTAAGATAGAGCGATGATCTCAAAGAATTGAGCTAGAAACAAAAAGTTTTAATTTTTTCCATCACCTGTTGTGTTTATGGTATAGCTTGCAATAAATATAACAAAGAAAAAATAATAATGTTATGACTCAATGAACTGGATTTTATTTTTTAAAGTGAAAGCAATAGGGATCCAAGGAAACTTCTTTGAGGATATAAATCTTTATTGGAAGTTTTTGAATGACTAATCACTGATTTTCAGAATCAATTGAATTAATTACTTGACAGCAAATACATTTTGGATACAACTTATAAAATTGACAATTTTCCAATGTTTTGCGCATCAATTGACTGAGTTTTTACGTTATTGTGAATTTTCCCAATAAAATCTCGGTCGACATTTAATAATAAACATTAGAAATGTTATCCGAGAGCAACAAGCAGTCAAAATACATCATTCAATTTCAAAGTTCAACAAATAGAAATAGATATTAGACTTACGGCTCTATGTATATTTACAAAAATAAGAAAAAAGGATTGAATAGATCAGGTTGAGTCAGTCAGCTTTTGAACGGATTTTATAAAAAAGTCACAAGAGGAAAACATTATAATCGCGTTGATGTTTATTCAACTTTTTTGTTCTTTTTTTGTTTGAAAATTATTTCTATTGGCAAAGCAATGATGAAATTTACTTACGGGAAGAAGTCAATTGAGAATAATAGTAAGCATACTTAGGCGTCCTCGCTAACAACCCCATAATCAAGTACTGAAAATGGCGCAACTTGACTTTTGAATGGTCCATAACTCTTTTAGGAAATAATCCCAACTGCTACTTTACGTTTGTCTAAAAATTGTCCAGTAAGGAGTTGAAGATAAATTTATCATCAGCTTATAATGAAACAGTGAAACTGTGGTTTCCTAAGAAATAAGGAAATCTGATTCAGAGTAAACAAAGTATTGACAAATAAGGACATAATGAATTTTCAATATTTTTGCAAATCCACCCCGCAATATTCTAAGAATATATTTTCAATGATTAATTTTTTTTCATTTTCAGGTCAAACAGAAATTGTAAATATGTTGTTAACGAAATGCAAAGGAATCAACATTGACGCAAAAAATAATTTAGGCTTCACGCCGTTAATGAAAGCAGCACTTCAAGGTCGAACAAAGACGGCAAAACTCTTACTATTTGCTGGTAAATAGAAATATATTTTCTCATTTCCCTTGTGAATCCTTTCAAAATTAATTTTCTCGTTGCCCTATTATAATCATTACTAACTCTGTGACTTGCTGTGAATTACACAAATGCTTTCTCATGAAAATTACTTTTCTCGTCTTTTTTTTCTATTTTTAATATCCTTGATATCAAATCATTAAAACGTCAATGAATGTGTATGTAAAAAATGATAGGAGCATCACCAATAGCAACTGATCCAACTAGAGGCTTCCGTGCCGATCAATGGGCACGTTATTGTGGACGTCATCAGACAGCTGAAATGATCGAGACTGTCGCTCGTGCAAAACTCTTAGATAAATCAACCTCAAATAAATGGACACATGATGTTATACCGAGAAGTAAAACAACATCTGCTATGTCGCAAAGTATTTTACAACATCAACAGCAACAGCAAACGAGTCATTCAGGAGGTGAGTGGATAACATTTTACTCTTTACTTTATCATGTTTTTAAAATAGATTTGAAAAGTGACGAAAAAAATTGAATAAAAGTATGACGTGCATTTTTTTTATTCAAATTGAAAGGAAAGATTCTTGGTTGAAATTTTATTTTTGAGATTATAGCTGAATTGAGATGAATGAGGCAACGAAACATAATTTTGAAGATGAAAAGCAAATTTTATGATAAATATGATAATAAATGCGTTTAGAATTGAATTTAGAATTTAATTCGAAAAGTTGTTACTGTATTAATAGACCAAAAGTATTCCGGGGGTCTATTAGGGCTTATAATTGAAATCGATTCTAAAAATAAAATTGCAACAAGGAAGAACGTTTGGGTATTTCTCAGAAATTGAAGCTTTCAAAAACCACTGGATATCAAAGTCGACCTTTTAGATCTTAGAAAAATTTTAAAAATTGAAGGTGCTTGTTTGAACACTTAAGAAATTAAAAGATCTATAGCTAGAAAATTTCAACAACAGCTTTAAATACTACATAATGCGATTCAAGTCAATACCTAAAATTGAAGCTTAAGAAAAGAACAAAAAGCTTTTGAATAATGTATGTCTAAAAACAAATATGAATCTTACGATATTATAAAGCATGCATGACAAAGCAAGAACAGTTAATGTGTAAATATTAGACTTAATGTAGAAATCAAAAATATGACGGCAACATTTCCTGCGCATTTCTGATTATTAGCATCATAATAGAATATAAATATTTATAAAACATCATCTCAAATCAGCTACGAGCAAGCCAACGTAAAAGTTTAAAATTTACGACGTTCCTCACATGCTTTCATTCATAAATTTTGATCCAAAATATAAGTTATTACTAAATCAAAAAATCTTTTTTTTTCTTTTAATAATTTTAGGTTTTCGTTCAAAATTTCGAAAAGTTTTTCCATTTGGTTTCTCACTTAAAGACAAACATCATAAAAGCAAGGATGATGATGGCAAGAATAACCGTAATGGTTTTGTAAATATGTCAGACAATAAAGAGATTGGTATTGTTGATGAAAATGGATTTAGTAATGGTGAGATTGTAAATTATCTAACAGCAGCTGCTATTTGTGTGGGAAATGGTGCTGGCGTTACAAATGGATCTAGTAAACAAATTATCAAAAGCCTCTGTCGTCCATTAACTGTGCCAAAGTGAGAGTCGAATCATTTATTTTATTTTTTGTTTGATTTATTTTGAGTTGCAAATTTTTTATTTTATGCTGAACGTGAACACCAAAGTATTGCTTATAAAACTTTCTACTCTGTGTAATTTTTGGATTTTTTTTAAATGTATTAATATAATATTGGATGCAAATTTGATGTTTTAGTGCCATTTTTGAGTTGATTAATTTTCCGTAATGTTGTTTGTTCTAGTTTGTCTGTGATTAGGCATTAGATGACAAGTTCCTAAGTACAATTTAATTTTTGTTTAAATTTAGACAAAACATTTTCGAGATCAATTAAATTTGACTTTAAGAAAGAAGCATTTAATACACATTCCTTCCCAATCTATTCCTCTCTATCACAAATATTGCACAAAAAAAAACTTAAAGTTTTTTTTAAAAAGCAAATCAGTTATGTTAAGTGTGGTAAAGATATTAGCGCCCACTAGTTTAGGTATACTTAAAGATTTTGGTCTTAAATGTAAAGATGAATAAAATTGTCTGTGCTCAGTGGAATATACCTAGGCAATATCCATGATAAATCTAAGATAGCAATCTAGTCACAGAAAACAGTCAACAGCTCTGATTTTCTCTTATAATTTTGCAAAATTTAAAATTTATGTTTTGTTAATTTTCATTTATAGACTCGAAGTTACATACGCAAACAACAATAATTTAATTAAAAAATTTGAAAACATGCCGAATATGGTACCAGAAGTAGAGGAGAAGCCGACAGTCATTAAGAAAAAGGTCAATGGAATAAGGAAAGTTTTATCAGAGAAATCAAAAGGAATTATTAATGCCGGAGGTGGAAAACAAAAAGTTCATACCGACTCATACTTCTAGTTTAAAGTTTATATCTCGCGTCATTAATTTTAATTTGCATAAGGATCTTTCATCAAATATTGTTATTATCATCATTCATTGTCCTCAATAGTTATGACATTAAGATTATCTATCATGTAACTATTGTTATTGTAGATTATATAATATTCATTATAGTACTCGACATGAAAAGAAATCAGTAAGTCATTTCGTCTCATAATAGTCATAAAAATTAATTGAACTCTATTCTTAAAGATTTACTTTTAATGTTTTAAATTTATTTTATTTCAATATTTTGAAATAAAACTTGAATTTGTAGAAATTTTATGAAAAATGTACAATATTGAGGATTTATTTATTCGTCCACATTAAAATATTACTAGCTCATTTTATTTGCTGAGTGATAAATTACGTGACAAAATGAAAATTGATTTGTTGGTTAGGATGAGATCAGAATTAAGGGATTTATGATATTTTGGATGACCATTTTTCCTCATATTTTAATCATTTGTTTATTTCCCATTGATGTACTTTGATGAAAATTTAATGAAACTGGATTAGTTATACTGAACATGAATCATATTTAATGCACAAATAAAGGTTTACATTTGTATTCCTAAAATAGATTTTATTTTGCAGTATTTGGTTTTTTTTTTCATTGCTGCTGAACCGACAGCAGAACTCAATCTTTTAACTACTTTGCAAAATAGATAATAAGCATTAAGAATAATCAAACGACAATTAATTATCTTATGAATTTATGTTCTGTAAATTTTCTATTAAAAAAAATAAGGATATCCTTTCAAAATTGAGAAATAGTAAAAATGTTCAAAGTACCTAAAAACTCTTAAAAGGAATGAGCACCTTAATTGATAAAAAAAAATCGGCTGTATCATTAAAACGATTGGTATAAATGAGATTTAGATAATAGATAGGAAAGATTTTTGTTATACCCAATTAATATTACAAACTGATCTTGAATGTTTTAAGGAGTGTGATCCGAGGAATTTTGAAATCATTAGCATATTTTTAATCCATTTATGTTGGTAGTGAATTAGTAGTGCCACAACTGAAAACAAAGCTTTCAAGTCGTCTCCTTTGCAAGGATATATAAAGTGAATTAAATTCCATCAATGCAAGTTGAGCGACATTCACATCAAAACTAATCATTGAAGTAAAAGAACCTCCTAATCAGATCTGATCGACTTTTTTTTAAAACAAAATGCTATATCCAAAAACTTGGATGAACTTCAAACATTCAAGATTCAAAAATGATTAAAATAATATTAAAATTAAAAGTCCGCGTGTGTCACAAGAGAGAAGTCAATTATTTTAAGTTAGTTATAAAAGGAAGCTTTTAAGCTTCTGCAATAAATTGTTGCTGAAATGAAAGCATAAATGAAAAATATTAAAATTCATTATTTTCTTATTTTGTATTTTTTAAACCTTGAAAATCAGGAAATAAATTATTCATGAAATTAAGTATAATACCTAAAAATATTTAAAGAATAACAGATTTTTTACTATTGACCTTTTTTAATCCTTTCAGCAATATTTTATCATAATTTGATTGTGGCTTGGACTAACCTCACAGAAAAATATTTTCCAGATCAGAACATTATTTTTTCCGACCATAAATTTTCATCATCATTCATATTTACAATTCAATTTTAACGTCCTGATGTTCATCCTCAAATTTTTTATTTCGTGACCTTCTTTTTGATTTAATTTTCGAAATCACTTCATACGCTTGTTGAATGTCCATGAATTTTTCTTGTGCTGCTCGCCGCAATTTGTCATCTTTCACCTTATCCGGATGGAATTCACGTGACAATTTACGCCAAGCGCTTGTTATTTCGCTTTGTGTTGCTGTTGGACTAACATTCAATACCTTATAGGCATTTTGCTCGCCATCTATGTCTATAGAATCAACGATTTGCTTCCACGTCTCATACCATCCATTGTGTTGTGCAAATCTCCATGTATCGACAAAAGTTTGCTTTAAGTCAGTCCACCATGGAGACTTGAGGAAATTTTTAATAGCTTCGTGAACAGGGACTTCATCACCTTCACTGTCTGTAATTTTTCCGTTAAATACAAAGTAAGCACTCCATACAGAAAGATAAAGAATGACGCATGTTGATAATTCAATTGTTCTCCTTACTTTACTATGTCTCTTTGGTGGCTCACGACGCCATTGCTTTGAAAATTGCTCAAATGCCAATGCACTTCCAAAGACCAAACCAGTGAACCAATATGTTTCATCATAAACAAAATATCGAAGTGGATAAATTAGATAAGCTACGAGTAAGCAGTGCCAAAAGACTCCCTTTTCACGTCCAATATTACCGACGATCCAGACACCAACTGCTGAGAAAAATGGAACAGTCCACAGTAAAAATCTCCAACTGATACCCATTATTTCATCTTCGGGTACAGCAATCATTACAACTTGTCCAAAGAGATAACTCATCATAATTTGCCCGAGGAAACGAATTGTTGAGAATTCTGGCTTCTGTTGTGTCCTTAGCTTCACAATGAATTTGGCAATAAATTTTGGATCATCATTAGCATCTCTTACATATTCTGGGATTTTAAAAATTTCAAATAGCCATCCAATACCAAAATATCCTCCAAGTGTACACCACCATACAAAAGCATGTCTATCCCTATGCAGGTAGATATGATGAAGACCAAAAATTCCACCGAAAAGCCATAAAATGTAGGCGACAAGTAATGATTTTTGTTCTGGAATTTGAGGATATATATGTTCATATTTGGTTTCAGGTCTACTGTAATGAACTCCATTTGATTGCTTCTTGCTGCTTGATTTTAAGTCTTTTGATTTCGTTTGTGATAATTTTTCACCCATGATGAAAAATCTTCTATTTTCTGTTGATTTTTGTAATAACTTTCAGTGCTGAACCTAAAAGTGAAAGAAAGATGAAAGAAAATGTTAAACGAATAAGAAATGAACACGTAAGTCGGAATTTCTTTTGGATGATTTGTTGCACAAATATTTCAGCTTTGAATTTCACAAGGTAAGTAAACGATGAGTCGATGGAATCGTTTTTTGAGGATAAAATAGATTTTAAAGGATGTGTAAGCGAAGACTGAAAATGAGTAGCACATAAATGATGTACAACTTTTTATGAGCTATTCGTAATTAGTTTGCACATTACTAACAAGACACGATTTTATATTTTATGTTAGAAGTTGAGAACAATCCCAAGCTTCATTATAACGTCGAACCTTTACGACTCCGTTGTGCAATTAGGGAATAATTTGATTAATTTCATCATTTTAATAGATTTATTGAATTTTCTCGCGTATTCGATAATTTGGAATGTACTGTAATTAACCTTTTCTCATTTGTTCCTAACTGTTTCTAAGTTTAAAGATTGAAATGTGAATTATAAAGCTTTAAATTCTCTAATTTTACTTCATAAAAATAAATTGCGAGGCAAAGCTACAAGAGATTCTTCTTTCGAGACTACCTGACACAGAAAAATTTCTTTATTTGTGCTGTCTATTGACATAAATTACTGTTCAGATGACTTTACTTTACTTTTTAAAATGCTTCAATAATTTCTAATTTCAAAGTTTTCAAAACTTTTAATTCCCAACCAAAATTAATCATAATAAAAGCATGACGCTCCAATTAGTTTTCAGCAGTTGACACAATTACACACTCCTGACAGAAAAATAAAACTTTTTCTTTTCTTTTGGTTTTTTATTTACATCGTGTTGCTTGAAACTAGCACACATGTCTTGAAAAGACAGAAAGAAAGAAATGAAAGAGAAGCACAAGAATGATGATGACGTAGAAGTGCAGAACCGTTACCTTTTTTTTCATTTCTATCGATTTTCTTTCTTATTGAGTCAAGTTTAATACTTACAATAAATAGGAAGTTTTACATGAGTTTTAATTAAATGTTTGATTCTATGCTTGAAATTTGCAGATGAACTTTTGTAGAATCATTAAGATAAAGTTCTATTCCTTTATTGCTAAAAAGTAAAATTCTATTTTTTTTTTCTTATTTTCTTTGAAATTTCTTCGGTCTTAACTCTCTCGCGATTCAAGTACAACTAACACGCACAATAAGCACAAAGCAGCAGTAAAGAAGTTTTCGAGAGAAAGAGAAAAATCTTGAACTTGAAATAAATTGTTGATGAAGACTGTTGAGAAAGCAACTCCAAACAATCGAAGACGTGAGCAAACGTAACATTTGCTTGTAGTAGTGCTGGATGCAACAGGTAGTAATGCACACAAATTGAATATTTTAGAATTCAACAAGTGTGTAGCATGATTACGTTAATAGAAAAGAAATTGACGAGACATTGTTCTAGTCTAAAATATATGGCATATTTCTATAAGTCAAAACTCATGCGTAGAGCAATTATCATGTATGATACATGTATGCAGTCATGGCAATAAAAATTGTCCATCACAAAATATTGGAAAAAATTATTCAACATGTCGAAAGCTGATTCTGATAAAAAACCGTTTTCAATAAGCGATGATAGTCATCCAAATAACAATACAGCCCAGGGGCGTAGCCAGGGGGGGGCCATAGGGGGCCCGGGCCCCCCCCTACGAAAATCTGATGATTGTTTTATTAAGTATTTATAGAGAAGAACCAGTTAATGTAGAGGAAGTGATGAAAGAAATGTCAAAATCAGCACGAAAAATTAAATTTAATCTATGAATAATGAATTAAATATTTAAACTTATGAAGAATGAATGTAGATTTAAGGATACAAAATAACGGTTTTTTAATTTTCGGAAATGGGCCCCCCCCTTTAAAATTTTCTGGCTACGCCCCTGATACAGCCAGTACTGTACTGTCAACAATGACTAGATTCAAAGATTACATAAGTAATAACAGCAGCAGCATCAATTCTCGCCAAAGCCGTAAAATATCTGAAATAGAAATGGATATGGTCAATGTTGATATGCCTGATATCAAAAAGACATTTCAGTTTGTAAAGACAGTTGGTCGTGGAAGTTTTGGAGTTGCGAGCCTTTATAAACGACTCAATGATGACGTATCAGTGGTTTTAAAACAAATAAATCTTGCTGAGTTATCAACTGCTGAAAAGGAAATGGCAATGAATGAAGTTGAAGTATTTTCTCGACTTAAGCACCCAAATGTTATTTCATATTATAGCAGTTTCATACGAGGTGAAATCCTTTGCATTGAAATGGAATATGCAGATGAAGGGAACTTAGCTCAAGTCATCAATGAATCAACTAATTACTTACCGGAACGATATGTGCTGAATGTATTTGAACAAATGACGAATGCTATTGCTTATATGCACAGTGAAAATATTTTACATCGTGACTTGAAAACTGCTAATGTATTCCTTAAACGAGGTGTTGTTAAAATTGGAGACTTTGGAATTTCTAAAATTATGAGTACTAAAGTTCATGCACAAACCATACTTGGAACGCCTTATTACTTTTCACCTGGTAAGTTTACTAAAAGAATAGCTTTATTAAAAACACGTCATGACAGTAAAAATCCACAACCATACTAGTATTGCTTTATGAAGACTGTCAATAAACCTTTGCCAATGTTAAATTAAGAAACAAGGCTCCAGTAGATTATAATCTTCAATAATCCCATGCAAAGACTAAAATCTTCAATAATCTTCTTTGGATAAAAGATCATAAAATCACAAAGCTTATAAGTTTCGTTTTTAAAAGATTATAATCTGTGGGAGCCTTGGTTAAAAGCAGAGATCGAAGCCGATTTTTTCGGCTTAACTCAATTTTTGATTTTTTTGATAGAAAAAAGCTATTTAACACACATTTCAAGTAGCTAAATTGAACTTTACATGCTTTACTATGATTCTTTGTAATATTTTGTCAGCATGTAGCTAAAGGAAGCTCAGAATTTCAAGTTAAAGAACGAAATTTAAGCCGATCGGCTTATAATCGACTAAATTGAAATTCTGAGCTTCCTATAGCTACATGCTGACAAAATATTACAAAGAATCATAGTAAAGCATGTAAAGTTCAATTTAAATACTTGAAATGTGTGTTATATGGCTTTTTTCTATCAAAAAAATAAAAAATTGAGTTAAGCCGAAAAACTCGGCTTCGATCTCTGGTTAAAAGACATCAAAACTATTATTTCGACATAATGTCAAATCGTGAATCTGCAGATTAATTCTTAAATTTAATTTTAAAATGCAAATTCTGATCTTTTGCTAATCAGATGCAACACTAATATCTTATTTAATGATGGTTTGGCATTAGATAGATGCTTGAATGAATTTTGTTTATTAATTCTATAGAAATGTGTGAAGGAAAAGAATATGACGATAAAAGTGATATATGGGCTTTAGGATGTGTCTTAGGAGAAATGTGCTGTCGTTTGAAAACTTTTACTGCTACAAATTTATCGGAATTGGTGAAAAAAATTATGGCGGTAAGTCTGAACAATCTTTAATAATTTTTTGGAGAATTTTTATTAAATCCTTCGGCCGATTTCACAAAGGTGGATAATCCTCATTTTCGGATTATCTATTTCTTTGATATGAGAAAAATCCAAATAATTTTTTTCTGGTGTAGAATTACTTGTTTAGTAATGATCAAACTAGTTTGAGAAAAAAATATTTTTATTGTATAGTGAATATAGCGAAAAAATAATTTTAGTATATGGATTATCCTAAGATTATCCTAGGATAATCCTGAAGATTATCTGAATTTTCAATCTTGGGGGGACCCAGTTTTAACATTTTGAATTAATTATGTGCATAATCTCAGGATAATCCAACAAATCGGATAATCTTTTTTTGTGAAATCCATCGTCAAAAAATTATTTTCATATTCACACAAAATTTTCAATTTTTGTGAATATATTGTTTTTGGTTTTTCGGAAAATCAGTTTTTTTAACTTTCTGCTTCAGGCTTACGGAATCAACCCAAATACCGATGCCCGGTAATAACACCGACGCGGAATAACTTCACTTGTAGAGAAAATCGTGAGTTCGGAATAATGTCGAAAATTTAAAATGCATAGAGCGGTAATAACTTCACCTATATAGCCTGAGTGAACTTATTCCGGCGTGGCGCAGGAATAACTTCACCTAGAAAATGAAGGTGAAGTTATTCTTGCACGCTGTAGGAATAACTTCACTTATATGTGCCAAGTGAAATTATTCCTGCGCCACGTCCACAATGATTCAGATTTGAAAAAAATGTTCAAAAATTCAAAAATAACAAGTTAATTAAACTATATGTTTTAAATGCCAGATTAAAGAACATGATGTGTTTTATGTTCTGTAAAAATATCACATTCCAATTTGTTGTCTAATTCACAAAAATTCGATTTTAAGATGCCAATAAATTTGTTTACAAAATGACAACAAATATTTTTCTTAAATTTTTTCTCCTTTCCACTTCAAATTTCTTGTTTTAATCCTGATAACCAGCTTAATTAAGCTTAGTACTTTGTGTTTGTGTGAAGAAACCAAAAGAAAACCTATTAATTGGGCGAATATACATGATTAATTTTTTTGAAATTTACCAAGACTTTAAACACTCATAAGTTAAATTCGCGTCTTTCCGCTTCTACCAAACCTATTTAAATATAAAGAACAAAGTCTAATTAACCTTCCATATTAATGTGTACATGCCCAAATATGCCCGAAGCGAGATATTTGCGATTGAAAATTAGTTAATTTTTCATACAAATTACTATCGTGCGCCAAATTTTTTGATAAACATTTGTGAAATTTGTAAAAAAAAACTTATTTATCCTCAATTTCATGACTTAATATTTTGAGGAATCAATAATCAAGTAAGATTAAAGGCATTAAAAGTCCTAAACTAGAGAATATCAATAAAAAATTTCATTACTTCAATGTGTCTGAAAAATATTATGCACAAGGATTATTTGAACATTTTTTTCAAATCTGAATCATTGTGACGTCGTAATAATTTCACAAATTTTTGTTCATCGAAATTATTCCGTCATGATGCAGGAATAACTTCACTTATAATTTCTATGTGAAGTTATTCCTGTTTTGTGTAATTACTTTTATGTTATTTTTTAAGGGTTTTTTATGATATTTAATTAATAAAGTTCTTCAGTAATATGTTTTGAAGTTTGTTGCGGATTTTATTCTAATTTGATGTAAGACAAGATAGTTTCTTATATCTTCGAAATTAATTTGGAATATATAGAAAGTTCACTACTAATTCGTAATTCCTTTGAATATCAATTAAAACTTTAATTAATTTTTCTGGAGTTATAGGCTCTTTTGCTGAAATATCTCTATTAGATATCAATCTTGTGATATTAACACATGTTTTTGTATCAAAAAGGCAGGCTTTAGATGAGAATTTAATAGCTAAAATTAACAAAACTTTTGTCAACAGTGTCAATTGGTAACATAAGAGCGCTTCCATACAAAATTAAAATTCAAAAAGTTGCACAATTAGCTAATTTTACCTTGTTTAATTAAACTAGAAGCAAGTGAAATGATAAAATATACATTTTTTCAATCCATTAGAAGGATAGCTTGCAACAAAAGAAGTAAAATCTAGTGTTCAAAATCTTACCAAAAAACTCGTGAGAAAAATTTTCTCAGAGAAAACTTGATTTGAAATCTCGCGAGTTTTCAAATCTCGTGAAATTTTTTTCTCACGTCTTAATCTCAATTGAGATTTTTAATCTCAATTTGTGACGTCACAAGGGAAATTTTTCAAAAAATTTGAATGAAATTTTTGAACACAAAGGTTAATGGAAGTTTTTCTGATATTGACTGTGTTCCTGTTTTTGAATGTACATCAGTTTACAGCTTCAATGCCTCTGGATGCTTTTTTGATCTCTTTAAGCATTTCTGAGTGTGAGAACATAGAAATTATAAGTGAAGTTATTCCTGCATCATGACGGAATAATGTCGATGAACAAAAATTTGTGAAATTATTACGACGTGGCGCAGGAATAATTTCACTTGGCACATATAAGTGAAGTTATTCCTACAGCGTGCAAGAATAACTTCACCTTCATTTTCTAGGTGAAGTTATTCCTGCGCCACGCCGGAATAAGTTCACTCAGGCTATATAGGTGAAGTTATTACCGCTCTATGCATTTTAAATTTTCGACATTATTCCGGAGCTGCGTTGTGAAGTTATTCCGCGTCGGTGTTATTACCGGGCATCCAAATACCTGATATGTAAAAGTTTATGCCTCGAAATACCTATCTAATGGTGAAAACAATTTTTCATTTGACAGTTCCAGTTCCGAGAAATCGCAAAAAAAGGCAATTAGTTAATCGGTGCGATAACTCGATTCAAACTTAATATTAAGACTTCCGGTTTTTTTGCTTCTGATAGATAATGGCTATCGCAAGAACCTCAATCTAGAAATCCCTAAAATGAAGCTACCCTAAAATGCAGATAGTACTGCCAAGATGCAGATGGTGCTGCTAAAGTGCAGATGAAATTTATTTTCCCTAAAATGCAGATGAAATGCTGTTGCTTTAAAAAAGGTATAATACAGATAATTTTTATCGTATAAAGTGCATATAAGATGCTGCCCAAATGTAGATCGTATAATTTTATTAAAATAAAGATGAAATGCTGTTATAATGTAGATAATTTAACGTTGGATATTAATTTTTTGGGCACCGACGAAAAAAGAAATTATTCGTGAGTGACGCTTTGGTTTCTTAAATATCTCCGAAATCACAATAGTAGGGTTTGGGGAACCTGTTAACAGAAAACAGAAAGTCAGCTGTTTTTCGACAAAAATCTGTTAACAGAAAATAGGTCTCAAAAACAGATCTGTTTTCTGTTTTTCATTTTTGCATATAATTTACAGAAAAAAAAATTTCTTATTTTTTTGAAGAACTTAATATATTTTTCTAGAATTTTGAATTGAAATGTTTTTACTTTTTTAATATTTTTTGGATGTTTAATAGGTTTGAAATCATTATCAAATTTATGATTAATCATTATTAATTTTGCAATCGAAGTTTTAAATTTGTTGAACTTTTTGTAGCATTTACTAAAGTTCAAAAATATAATCAACAATTTTACAAGATATTTTTTGATTTAGAAAGATTTGTTTGAATATTTCAAATAAAATATTAGAGTTTATGGAACTTTTAAAATGCAACAATGCAATTTTACTTTCAAGTATATTAATCAAACCTATTAATAATTCTTAGCTCTAAAATGTATGCTTAACTGCTTTTAACCACCAAAAAGTTTCATTATCTTAGAGAAACACTTAGGATAACTCAGTTTATTTTGAATTCTAGAAAAACAGGAAAACAGCTGTTTTTAAAAATCAAAAACCGAAAACAGACTGTTTTTCAAAAACAGCTGTTTTCCACAAACGCTACACAATAGTGACAAATTTCAAAGTTATTATATCTTGTAAAAAACAAAAATTGCTTTCTTTTGACATAGAACTTACTTCCTAAAGTTAAAGAGTTATGACGGGAAATCACATTAATTAAGCGTCACTCACGAATAAATTAATAAATAAATTTTGTTATAACTTTGGGAGCTTTCATTGATGTATCTGCGAATGTATTTTTTATATTCACACCGTTTTCACGTGTGAATCTATTGGTTTTGTTCAGATGGAAACATCAGTTTTTCGCATTTTGTGAGAAAACGAAGCAAAATTGGTTATAAAAGGTCCAAGAAGAAAAGTTTGTACCTGAAATTTTACATCTTTTGCAAAAATCAGATTTAAAATTGATTTAGGCATTGCTGAGAAAATCGTAAAATACGCTTTCTGTAAGCAAACAAGCAAGCAAGCAAGAAATCTTAATAACGAGACATTGTAGAGACTTCTAGTTTTATACATTTGATCCGTGCTGCTCTATAGAAGAGCTGTATTGTTTTTTGGCAAGGTAGGAACAGCCGTTGCTTCAGAAAAAGCAAAAAACTTTCCTTTCTTACGAATTTTTCAAAACAAAAGTTCACTGTGATTTTTATAAAATTAATCTTTGGATGAAAATTTTGATGGTACGGTGCGAATATATCCGCATTAGGTTTCTACCCGATACACTAGTTTTGCTGTTAAACGACATGTAACATTTTTGCAAGATATATAGACGAGCTCATAAAAAGGATACTCGACCCAACATATACATAAATATGTCATCAGACAAAATAATTACCCTTAAATTTTATCATGGATCATTTAAAGTCATTAACACGCATCAAGAAAAAAAGTCATCGAATATGATGTATTTTAATGAAATTATACGATCTACATTTGGGCTGCATCTTATCTGCAGTTTATACGATAAAAATTATCTGTATTATACCTTATTTAAAGCAACAGCATTTCATCTGCATTTTAGGGAAAATAAATTTCATCTGCACTTTAGCAGCACCATCTGCATCTTGGCAGTACTATCTGCATTTTAGGGTAGCTGCATTTTAGGGATTTTTAGATTGAGGTATCGCAAGAACTGTATTGTTTTTGGAGTCATAAGATGCTTCCAGTGAGGCACAAGATGCATAAACATTTTTGTATGAGAGTAGTTTGATATTAATAAAATGGTTGTAACAGTATGCATTAAGTTAAATGTATGTGAAAAAATGTTGGAACTAGCGAGTTCCTTCACAAGATTCAGCTTACTGGATCTATATTATTGAATACATACTTTACTTGTATCATAATGGAAATTCGTTTTTGGTTCCAGCATTGATTTTTTTCTTGCTATATACTTACTGGATCTTGGTTCCAACGATAGCACAATTTCAATTTCAATTTTAGTGGACTGGATTTAATTTTTAATGACAAATTAAATTATTTAACCCAAATTTAAACAATTTTTCACAATGATCTCTCAATTTCAACAAATTGTCAAAGCCCACTAAGAAATTTTTCTTATTTCTTAATTATAAAAAAATTAAAATTGAAATTGAAATTGTCAAAGCCCACTTAGAACTTTTTCTCAAATTTTACTGGATCATGGTTTCAAGTTTTACCATGATTAAACCTTTACTGGATCTTGTTTTCAAGCTTAAAACTTGGATAAAACTTAACTGAATCTATGTTTATTGTTTCAAACATGATTAAAACTTAACTGGATCTTGGTTAATTGCTTCAGACATGATCAAACCTTTACTGGATCTTGTTTTTAAACCTCAGACTAGGGTTTTCAATCCCGGGATTACATACATTTCAATCCCGGGATTGAAAACCCTACCTCAGACATGATAAAAACTTAACTGGATCTAGGTTTATTGTTTCAGACATGATTAAACCTTTAATGGATCTTGTTTTCAAGCTTCAGACATGATTAAAACTTAACTGGATCTTGGTTTATTGCTTCAGACATGATTAAACCTTTACTGGATCTTGGTTCAAAGTTTCAGACATGTTTAAAACTTTACTGAATCATGATAATTTGTTGCAGACATGATTAAAACATTACTGGATCTTGGTTTTAAGCTTCAGACATTCTTAAAACTTTACTGGTTCTTGGTAATTTGGTGCAGACATGATTGAAACTTTGCTAGATCTTGGTTTTAAATTTCAGATATGATTAAAACTTTACTGGATCTTGGTTCCAAGTTTCAGACATGCTTAAATTTTTACTGGATCATTGTAATTTGTTGCAGACATGATCAAAACTGTACTAGATCTTGGCTTAAAGTAAAATTCAAAATATTATGTCAGGAAGTGTTGGAATTCTTTTGGGATTTTTGAGTATAATTTTAATTTTACACGACTTGAATCTTATAATCGTTTGGATTTTATTAAATAAATGCCGCGAAGCTTGATCAAAACTAGTTTGAATCTTACGACTTGATAAATTATGACTTGCTTGTCAAACAAATAGCATCAAAATTATTTACTACAAATATCAAAAAGATATACTTTTAACTGCTTTGCACCTAAAATTGATTAAAATGTCAATTGATTGTCTCACAAATTTTTTATTTCAGGCTGATTTTATGCCACTTCCAGAAGGATATTCACCACAACTTAAACATCTTTTAAAAACGCTTTTACAAATCAATCCAGTTGATCGTCCATCAGCTAAAGATATTCAAATTTTTTACATTCCACTTGTTTATCGGAATTTGGGGAAATATGAAGGATACTCGTACACAAAACATAATGACGAGACAGATGAAACAATTTCTGTCAAATCTTCAATGATTTTTGGTCCCAGTGCAGCAAAAGAATATATGGAAGCATCAACTGCTACTATGAATGAGTTAGTGCTCAATGAACGCTCGATTTTATACTTGATGAAATCTTTTGGTGGGAATTTTTCGTTAGATCCAATTCAACTCCCTTCTAACTGTAAAATAAGGGATGTTGCTTTTGGCGATTCTCACTTTCTTGTGGTAACAGAAGAAGGATCAATTTATGCATGGGGTGATGGACAGCGAGGACAATTGGGACAAACAGTTGATTCTACATGGAAGCATTTCCCAACAAAAATTGAAACAATTCGTCGATATAATATAGTAAATGCTGGTGCTGGCGATGGATTTTCAATATTTTTGACAAACTATGGTGTGATTCTGAGCTGTGGAACGAGCAATGAAGGATGTCTGGGATTCGAAAATGTCACAAATCTTATGATTCCTCGTGTTATTGAATCTTTTGCAGATATCAAAATTATTCAAATAGCATGTGATAAAAGTCATGTCCTTGCACTCGATATTAATGGAAATGTCTACTCATTCGGATCCAATGAGTTTGGTGCATTGGGACTTGGCAAGCAAAAAGTTGCAATGACACCTTTGAAAGTTTCACTGCCACAAAGTGTACAAGATGTACAGAAAATTTATTGTGGCCCAGATTGTTCACTCATTTTACTTCATGATGGATCTGTCTATGCTTGCGGTAAAAACAACTGCAATCGATTGGGATTTGGAAGTAATATTGAATGCTTTACAGAATTTGTAAGTTGAATATATTCCAGTAGAAAGAACATCTTTATCTTTATTTTATTTTTATTCTTTTACAGCGAAAAATTCATAGCATCAAGAAGAAAGTCATGGATTTAAGTGTGTCTACGAAGCACTCAGCATTTGTTATAAGTGGAGGATATATTTTATCATTTGGTGATAATTCAGATGCACAGCTATGTGTTGGTCACAAAAAAGACATTACAAGTCAACCAGTTGTGGCTAAGAAAATTAGTGAACGTTTTATTCATGTAAGTTTATTACTGGTCTATTTGAGGGATTGAACATTGGCTCGAAAATTGTTCATAAAATATTTTTTCAGAAAGTTAAATGCAACCCAACCTACACGCTTGCTTGTAATGATACGAATGTCATAATGGCATTTGGAACACGACAGGGAATTCCAGAATTTCAAGTTGATAGTGAAGTTCCGAAAACACCTTCTACATTTTCACAAATCGGAAACAATACAGCTGCATTCACCAACTTCTTGACATCAGTCTATAAATCTGAAACACTTTTGGAGCCTGTTGAGCTTTTAGGAGTTTATTCATCCACTGAAATGTTAGAAAAGGGCATCTTTATGAAGTTAGTCGACATATATCCTCTTCATTATGGCGTTTTAGTTTGGGTTGACACAACAACGCCGTTGCGCACCTCGAATTAATTTTTTTTATTCATTTAAACAAAATTCTTTTAAAATTTATAAACACCTGAATAAAGTAAGTGCACTTGAGTTAAAAACAGACCTTATTTTATTTTAAGTATATTAGCACAAGCGGAATTAACTCTGCTCATATCGTTAAAAAGTTAACTTTTCCAAATAATATAAATAAGACAATTTTGTGTTTTCGATATTTAAACGATAAATTTTTCAGTCATTGAACCTTTAGCAGGGGTTCTCAAATTATTTTAATTATGGGCGATTCCATGGGTAAATGGAACTGAAAATTTTTTGTTCAAAAACTTTTTTAGCTTTTTCTGCTTAAATATACATATTTCAACATATCATTTCACTAAATAAGACTTATTATTCATCAATTCATGTGTTATTAGCATTTAATCGTCTTAATTATGCTGCATTTTGACAAAAATATGTAATATGTTTTGCAATAATCGGTTGAAAGTTGACCGATTAAGTGGTGTTTTCCCCAATTTTCTCCTTAATTACAGTAGTAAGACATACAAATAAGATATTGTTATAAAGCACAGGCGATTTCACGTGTGTTTATCATAGATTTGTAACACAACAATGGATATTCAAAGAAATATTGATAAAAATTTAAAAATCAATTTTTTGTAAAGTTGACCGATTAAGTTTGGTTTTTTTAAAATATCTTTTGTCAGACAGATTTAACTAAAAGATTATGCACTAAAATACATAAATACCATAATAATAAATAAAATAAATCTTAAATATGGCGTTAAATGAAGTTAATTAAGGAAATATTTACAAAAAATTGAGTTGAGAAAAAAAAATTCACTCATGGAATCGCCCTTATGAGGCGAAACTTTTGAGGAAAAAAATGTTCCTTAGTTGTTTATTATTGAGGAATCGACTGTGTCATCATCATCAATCATGTTCAAAAAATTCGCTGGTGTGTCACGAACCAAAATAATTTTCAGGAACACTCGACACATTTTAAGTTAAGAGTTAAAGGAATAAAATATTAGATTTTGCAACAAAAAAATCTTTAAACTTTTTTATATTCGATTTATTTGAAAACATGATGTCTTAATTTATGTTAATCAGCAAGTTCAAATTAAAGTTCACAAGATGACAAATATTATTTGTTGAAACTGCAAAAATATAATCTATAAGTGGATAAAGATGTGTATTAGCATGAAATTTTATTGTTTTTTCTTCGAATTATTTTATGTACTGGATGTACTTTGATTTAAACACCAAAAGGTTAGTTTTTGTGCATATATACAGATACCTAACAGACAAGTGAGTATACTCATGACACGGTAACATACTCAAGAGTAAGTTTCGGTACGATGAGTATACTCATTTGTCTGTTAATCTATTAATATTTAAAATAGTGAATTAACCTGCAAGTAAGGTTAATTTTGATTTAAAATTAAGGGTAATAATAAAATGTTTCAAGAAGTCATAATGAAATATCTGGTTTTAACATTAAAGCCTGTTTAAACGAAAATACCAATAATAATTATACTTCTTATTCAGAATTCAGAATTTCGTCCCAAAATACTTAAGTTAGCATAAACAATTCTCAACTGCTGATAACTAGTTCTCATATTTCCTCTCAGAGCTGCTCTCAAAAATGTGTTTTATACATTTAAAAAAAATATACTGATAATAATTCCTGAATCGTTTACTAGTTCTTGACGAAGTCAAACGTGATTTCAGTTTACTGCCAACAAAAATAAAAAAATATTTAAGTTTACGGTTAGTGATAAAAATAATATACAAGATTAATAAAATCAGACTAGACAGTGTATCATAATAGCATGAATTTTTTAAAAATAAATCGATAGTTCACGCCTAGACGATCCTAGTCTCTTACTATCACTTAATTTTGCTCTTTGATTGTGCATAAGAACAAAACGTCACCGACTGACTTTATTTGTGTCTTTAAAAAATATAAAAAGTATTAAAATCATTCAATTTAAAACATTCCGATGCGAAATGTGGGACAAGTGCTATAGATTTTACTTCCAAATATTCGATATGTGTTCAAAATCATCATTCAAGAGTCATAAATATTATAAAGCGGAAAAAGATTAATCTGTGCTTAGATGTAGAAAAAATTTCAGATCATACCCAAACATAAGAAATCATAGACATATTGGAATATCTCAAGGGCAGTCAGTTCATATTAAAAGTTTATTAGATTAAGACGCAGATCGTCATCTCTGTTTAGATCAGGAAAATTCATTAGTCATAACCAGATTTCTATGTAAATTGAATTAAATTTTTATTGCTACCCTCATTTGTGATCAATCGACATAGAAATTAAAGTGTTTAAGGCGTGTACAAAGAATTTTTTTCTACAGCTGATTGTGTCGGAAGTTTGATTTTAATAATCATTTTATGAAGATAAAGACATCTACAAGATCATCAACTGTCTTAGGGGCTGTTCACTTATTACGTAACGCGAAAAAATGACTTCTTAGACCCCCCCCCCCTCGTAACAAAATTTGTATGAAAAAAAAATTTCCTTGTTTGAACCGTAACAAAATCTTAGACCCCCCCTCCCCCTAAAAGCGTTACGTAATAAGTGAATGGCCCCTTATCAAAAAATTCAACTTTTTAAAGTTGTGAGTCAAAAATAATGTCTTTTTCAGGATATCTTCGTAAATTTATTTTAAACATCTTCAAAAAACGTCATTTGTGATTTAAAACCATAAATGGAACCTGTTGTTATTTTCCCATTTTTTCAAAATATTGCTTATATTTATAATCGCCAATATTAGTGCTCCTTAAACTGTGTGCTGCGACACATTGATGTCAGAACAATTGCGTGCAGAAGGAAAGAGTAGGGTTAATTTGTGACATAAAATAGACCTTTCTTTTAAAGTAGTGAATTAAATTCTTTCGCAAACGATTCTTTGCTTAGTCTATGATTTTGGTCTTCAAATTCCATTTAATTTTTAAAAAGTTTTTAAACTTTTCCGGTATGGGGCCGTTCACTTATTACGTTCGCATTTTAGGGGGGAGGGGGGGGTTTGAAAAATTGTAACAAAATGTAACATTAGGGGGGAGGGGCGTGTCAAGAAGTATGTAACGTTCTAAGTGTCGTCTGTCTTTTAAAAAAAAGTTTACGAAATTTTTTTTTACAAATTCACACCAAAAACATTTTTTTAAATTTTCCATCTTTTTAATGATAAAATAAATTATGAACGTTCAGGGGGGGGGGGGGGAGGGGGGGAGGGGGGGAGGGGGGGGGGGGTTGTGAGTTGTAACATATTGTAACAAGGGGGGCAAAGGGTGTGATCTGAATAATTCAGATTAACGAAGTTTTTTTTCAATGCCTAGCAAGTTGAGAAATTCTGAGCATTCTAGATATTTGTGCATTTTTTAAGCAAGTGAATGGAATCAATAAATAAATTTGATTTTAAATGAGATGAAAAAAAAAACATTTTGCAAAGTGATATTTTATGCACATTTATTTAAATTAATCAGCTAGAATAATAAATTAATAGTCTATTATTTAAGGCGTTAAGTAAATTCTATAAGCACACTCGGAATTTATTAAATAATCACAGTACTTATTGGTACTTGTTTAAAAATAATTTTCATTGAGTCACAAAATTTTAATCGACATAATAAACTTTTTTTCATATCCAGATATGCACACAAAAGATAAAGCCAACGACAAAGAGTAATTTAATGTAATTAATTGCCCGGTGGGATAGAGATAAAAGAGTTTTCAGCGCTCAGCATAATAATTAGAAAATACCAACATTTTTTTTTGCTTATCTTTCGGGTTTTCTTCTTCCCTGCGCTTCGTGATAACACATACAAGGTACATATACAATTGAGTATACTTCTTTTTATCTTAACAAATTTATTGTTACTCATTATATTGATCACACCTGTTTAAACTTGAGAACTAAACAACATTTGATAGTAATTAAAAAATATTCACTTTTAATAAGGCTGTCCGTGGTAATGGATTCGACTAAGACTAAACATGCTGTTGAAAAAAAGATTAAAAACAAAGATGAACATATCAAAAACTCTTGGTTCTGCAGATATAATTTACTTAGTGTAACATTGATAGCATTTGGAATATCATCGTTATTGTTTCTCCCAGACTATATTCATAAGCAAATGATGTTTGTAAGTTGAAACATAAAAAATGCGTGAAAATTAGTATTAAATTAGATTGATCTTAAATTTACAGAATCTTGAACTACGTCCAGATTCACGTACATTTAGTGAGTGGAAAAAACCAACAGTTCAACTTTATCTCGATGTTTATATATTTAATTGGACTAATCCAGAAGATATTAAAAATGCATCAACAAAACCAATCCTTCATCAACTTGGCCCATATCGTTTCCGCGATTATCCTGATAAGCATAACATTACATTTCATGAAAACTCGACAGTAAGCTATAAGAAATCGAATATTTACTATTTTGTGCCAGAAATGAGCAATGGAACGATGGATGATGTAATTTCAGGTGTAAATTTACTTGCATTGGGTGCTGGACATTCGTCAAGATATTGGAATGCATTTAAACAATATGGTGTGTCTACATCACTTAATACTTTTGGTCAAAAAATACATGTAGTAAAAAGTGCTCGTGAAATGTTATTTGATGGCTATGCAGATCCTTTAATGACAATTGGTTCTTGGTTTTCAAGTGATGCTGCTGATTTTGACACAGTTGGATATATGGTCAAGAAAAATGCAACAGATCGTTTGACTGGAAAGTACACAGTACATACAGGCGTTGGAAATATTTCTGAACTTGGAAAGATTAAAAAGTACAATGACAAATCTTTTTTTCCACACTATCAAGGAGAGTGTAGGAAGCTCAAGGGATCACCGGGTGAATTCTATCCTCCTGGACGACAAAACAAAGAAGACACAATGTTTTTATTTACACCTGAAATGTGCAGAAGTCTTCCATACGAATATGATTATGATAAAACTATTCATGGATTAACAGGCAATCGATATACTCTAGGACAGCGAGCAGTAGACAATGGACAGCTTTATAACGAAAATAAATGTTATTTCCAACATGAAATGTCTTCTGGAGTTTGGAACATGTCAGCATGTGCCTTCAATAATCCAATTTTCATGTCATATCCACATTTTTATATGGCTGATCAAAGTTATATTGATGCCGTTGAAGGACTTTCACCACAACAAGAGTTACACGAGTCGTACATGACACTTGATGAAAAATTATCAATAACATTAGAAACAACTGCAAGATTTCAAACAAATGTTATGCTTGATCAATTCGGTTCCATTTCACTTTACAAGAATGTTCCAAAAATTCTGATGCCATTATTTTTCATCGAACATAAATTTATCATCGGCGAAAGTGACGCAAGTCAATTGTATTATGGATTACTCATATTTAATCTCAGTAAATACGCTGGATTTGTTTTAATTTTCTTGGGAACATTCCTCCTAATTTGCAGAAGACTAAAATGTTGCAATAAGGGACCTGTGATTGAAAAAAATCTACCAGAAGCGTGTGCACTCGTAATTAAAGAAAATACTGTTTAAATGCTCGAAAATAAAGTCCTCTTAATCATTTATTGTGATAAGTAATATAATTTTTTAAAAAAAAACATCCTTTTTTAATTAGACTTTTCTTTTGGTTTATCATACTTTCTGACTATTCTTCCGAAATTCCACTGTATCCCAAAACTAATCATTCTTAAAACACCCATCAAATAGCATTGAAGGAATCCCAAAATAGGATTTTTCCAAGGAGACATGCCAACACATAAAATAGTCAAAATCCAGCTTTCAATACCCATTATTGAAAAGAAGTTTCCTTTTAAAGCATCATCAAGAAGCTTTTTACCGACATCTTCAGGCTTGAAAAGTCCTCCACCGCTGCAAATTTCTTGTGTGATTTTTGGTTTCGATTTCTGCTCATTAGCAAATCCAGGCGTGTCAGTATCTGCAGGTAAACTTAACGTAACGTTAATTCCTAAATGCTTAGTTTCCATAGATAAAGCTTCTGCAAATCCACGAAGTGCAAACTTAGTGGCATTGTAAGCAGCCATTCCGTATATTCCAATTAAACCTCCTTGAGAAGATGTAAGCACAATAATTCCATCCTTTTTAGCCTTCATCTTTGGCAAAACATATTGAATAGGATAAACTGTTCCTAAATAGTTGAGATCCATCATAAATTTAGCATCTTCAGGTTTTGTATCCTCAATAGTTCCACAAATGGCCATTCCGGCACAATTTACTAGCATGTAAATATCTCCCAACTTTTCTTCGATTTCTTTAAATGATGTCTGAATATTTTTATGTCCACTTGCTACATCGAGTGAATAATACTCGATTCGTTGATCATTTCTGACGCAATTCTCTTTAATGACATTAACGGCTTTCTCTGTAATCGTAACACAACATGATATTTACTTTTTGATAAGAGATATGTGAAATAAAGGTGTGATTACCTAAAATTTTAATGTTTCGAGCTACGATTGTGATATCAGCACCTTTTTTTGCAGCGTTAATTGCTACCCAAAGACCAATTCCAGAACTTCCTCCAGTAATGCATACGTGTTTTCCTGTGAAAATGAGTTTTCATCAATTATTTTAATAAGAAATTTGATCTTAACACTTACCGTAAATATCTTTGCTTTTTCTCGTCAGCCATCGAAATATCAGCACATGAAACACAATTACTGCAATTATAATCATAATTACTTCAAATGAAGGGTCCATTTAATGCTGGGAATTGATTAAATTTACTGGAAACTATGGTTTATTGACTTGTTTTTATCTGAAGAAGTTTTAGTACCGCTTTAAATAAGTTTTAGTACACAAACACAGTGACAAAATAAATTCACCTTATTTTCACCACTTTTAATGTCAAGCATGTATACAACATTAAAACGAAGATAAATTTGCGAAAATCTCACTTGTTATTCTGTATCACTCACTAATAATATAAAGATGTATATCAGTCTCAATGATAAGAACTTTCGTTACATATCAAGTGTCTCTCTAATCACTGCAACGATCAGTCACTTGAGATAAATTGAGCTGTTCAAATGATATCGCTCGGTACTGGTTATTTATTATGGAGTCGGAACCAAATCATTGTGAAATTTTGTGCCTAAAAAATGAGACTGATGGAAATGACGAGGAAAATGAAGAAAAAGTTGATCTGACTGGAGATTATGGAAATGCAGCACTTTTAGTTCTCCTTTATATGTTTCAAGGTCTTTTACTAGGACTTTGTACAGCAGTTCCGATTCTTCTGCAAAATAGAGGTGCTTCATACAAAGAGCAAGCACTATTCACATTGGTTTACTATCCATTTTCATGTAAAGTATTATTTTTCTGAGAAGAATCAGCAGCAAAAGATACAAAAGCTACTTAAATTTAATTAACTTTATAGTGAAAGTAATTTGGGCACCTATTATTGATGCATGCTATATAAACAAATTTGGTAGACGAAAAACTTGGATTATTCCATCTCAAATTCTCATCGGAGTATCTATGATTATTTCATCTCAGTATATAGACGTGTGGATGGGTGATGAGGCAAAAAATTCTCCCAACATTATTGCACTTACTGCTGTATTTTTTGCAATGCGATTCTGTGCTTCAGTTCAAGTATGAAGAAATTGATAATTCACATAAACTTTGTAATATCAAAATTAAATATTATATTTCTGAAGGATTGTGCAGCAGATGGTTGGGCTTTATGCTTGTTAAAGAAAAGAAATATTGGACATGTTGCTACATGTGAGATGGTTGGAATTTCTGCAGGCTGGCTTATTGGATACGTTATCCTTTTGGTATTTGAATCCAAAGAGTTTTGCAACAGTTATTTATATTCAGTACCTAAAGATGAAGGTCTACTTTCTCTTGGAGGATTTTTGAAGTTTTGGGGAATAACTTTTCTAATGATAACAGCCTTAATTGCAATTTTCAAGAAGGAAAACTCAGAAATGGCTGAGAAGCTTGAAGAACATCCTGATTATGGAATCAGAAAGGCATATCCAACATTATGGAAAGTTTTAAATCTTAAGCCTGTAATAAAATTTTCACTTTTCTTGCTAACAATTAAAGTTAGCTTTGCAGCATGTGATGCTGTTTCATCATTGAAACTTTTAGAGTATGGAATACCGAAGGACAAAATTGCATTAATGGCAATGCCTTTACTTCCAATTCAAATCCTACTTCCAGTTTTTATAAGCCGTTTTGTCACTGGAAAATATCCACTAGACTTTTATATTAAGGCATTTAGATTTCGACTTTTTATGTCTGTGATAATGGTTCTGTACATATACTTAACTCCATGGATGATTAGTGGACCTGAAATTTCATTCTTTTACTATGCTGGAATATTTGTTGTCTATCTATTGTATCATGTAAGTGTAAAGTTAAATTCTCTACAGCAAGCATTAATCTTATATATTTCATCAATATTAGATACCATTTCGTGCAATGAGCATATCAGACACTGCATTTTTTGCCAGAGTAAGCGATCCTCTTATCGGCGGTAAATATATATTAACTTCTGAAAGTCGTGATTTAGTTTTATCATCATATATGATAAAGAACTGCTTGTCATGCACTTGAAGAAATATTTTTTTTTTTATTTTAAGGAACTTACATGACACTTCTCAATACAATCAGTAATATGGGTGGGAAATGGTCTCAAACTTTCTTTTTATGGCTTGTTGACATCATTTCTTGGAAAGAATGTATACATGATGAGTTCTCAAATTCAACATTGTTATTATCCACGAATAAATGTAACACTAAGGATGAGAAGGAGATTTGTGTAAAAAATGGAGGGAAGTGCTACACTGAAATTGATGGATATTACATAGAAGCTATATTTTGTCTTATTTATGGACTAATATTTTATAAATTAAACAAAAAGACAGTTGAGTATCTAGGAAGGCTACCCACAGACGATTGGCACATTCTTTCAAAAGACTATGAAAATGTTAAGATTAAAAAGGACGAAAATCTACTCAGTTCATAAGATCAATTTATTAAGTAATTGATAGACTTTATAATTTTTTTAAATCACAAGATTTAGATTTTAAAACTTTAGTTTTGGTTATTCAGAATCTATAAATTATTTTTAAAAAGCTCAAAACTCTGTTAAAGTCATGTTAGAGTTGATTAATAACAAAACACAAATCAATTAAAAAGCTCTTAATTAAAATCATTTATTTCTTTATTATTCGTTTTTTTTGATTCTTTTTTTCATAAATTACACGGGACATTTTGATACCTAAAGATCATCATAGTGGAGAAGTTAAGTATTTCAATAATGACTGGTTTTTTTTTATTGATTTTTAATATTTAATTACGTGATAAAGGTAGAGAGAAATTAAAACATAAGAATCGTACATTCTGGTGATTTTTTTTTTTGATCATTTCTACTTAATAATACTCACTGATTTCATTATTCAATATTAAGCAACTAACAATTTAGGAAGAATTTTAAAGCAATTTTTTTAAGTCACTGTTCACATTCGTATATCCTTAAAAAAAAGTTCTACTTAGCATATTTTTAAAATACTCTATAAGGCAAATTCTATAAGCAACTGTTTGTTACATTTTCTTTCGCGAGCAGCACATCATGGCAAAGGCTGTCAAATGGCTTCCACGTGACACTGATGTACAGCTCGGAGTTTATATCTTAACATAATAGGTTGATAATTAAAAATTATTTCTGTAAATGCACGAAAAATGGGAGAAAAAGTCGTCAACTTTTTGTATCCATTCAGCCTATACGTCATATTGGGTAGAATGAAATTCAGGCAACGAAAGACGTTAGTGTGGGGTGTGAGGGTTAGTGAAGCATTTTTAAACACATCCATATTCATACCTACAATTGAAATATTAAATCAATCAATTAATTTATCGGATTTCTTGCTTGGTCTATAATTCATTATATATTTGTACCATATTGCACTCTCACGATTCTTGTCATTCTTCTTCTTATCACTCTTTGATTTTTGATTACTGCTCTCAGCATTTCCATTCGTTCCATTCACAATAGAAGAAGGCGGCGATTCTTTTGCAGCAACAGTCGTTGTGGAAATTTTATTGTACATGAGAAAGGTTGGTGCACCATTTTCGCCATTGCCGTTACTTGTTGTCGGCTTTTCAGCATCACTCTTATTTTCTTCACCTAAATATACAGTTCGGCGTGAGCCAGCCGAGTGTAGTAAATTCGTTACATCTGCTTGAGCATCAAATCTGTGAAATTTAAAATTTTATTCGCTTAATTGAATTTAATAAGAAGCTTAGTGTTTATCAGAAATTACCCTTGATAGCTATTTCTATTTGTTGTCTGATCATCCGTTATTTTACTTCCTTGCATGCTGCTTCGGAGAGCGCCTCGCATTAAGACGTTATGAATTTGTTCGCTTGTCTTTCGTGTTTGACTTTGACGAACCGGTGAATTTCTTCGCAAATGTGTGCTGTCGGATGCTACAGATGTCGGTTCCTCATTGCTGTTATCTGATTCATTACCACCTGATTCCGAACCAATAATTAATTGAGATTGTGTTAATCGAGGATCTTGCTCGACCACCCATGAACGTCTATTTTTGCTTGGTACTCGACTCATTAAATCAGATCCTGCTTTTCGAACCTTCTTAACAATATTTGAAACCATCATTGGCTTCTTTTTAGGTGCACAACTGTCTAATTTCCTATAATGTTCCATAATTTTCTCTTCGAGCTTCTCCTTCTGTCTCTTCAAATCATTCACTTTGTCAGTAAACATTTTCTCTTCTGCATGATAATGCTGCTTATCTTCAAGTGAATGTGTCAAGAGTTCATGGTATTGTGATAAAAGTTGCGAAACATGATCCATTAAAGTTCGTCTATCAGTATCTAATGTTTGGTTCATTTGAAGTAGCATCTAATAAAAATAACAGACAAGAGAGATATTATAGCTTAATTAAAAAATAATTGTTAGAAATTATTACCTCATTCTGCTGTTTCACCTTTGTCAATTCAATTTCAAGGCCTGTAAAGTGCTCAATTCGATTATTCATCTCGCCTGATTGCTCAGTTGACTGAATTTTGAGTCGACTATTTTCAGCACGAGTGATTTTATATTGTTCTTGAATATTTTTATACTCTTGCTTAATGCGCTCATTTGTGCTAAATAAATTACGAAAATCTTCTTTTAACTTCGAATGCTCAGCACGTAAACTACTTAGACTCTCTGACCCCTTCTTAACCAATTCTAATTCACTTCTTAGTTCATCGATTGTTTTCTCATCAATCATTGCTTGTTCCTTTAAACTCCTCATTTCTAATTTTAAATCTCGTATGGTAATTTTGAGGATTTCTTTCTCTTTATTAAGGCCATCATATTCGGAATTTAATTGTTCATGCAGACATTGAAGTGTAATCAGATCTTGTTGTGTAGAATCATGTTGGACCTTTGTTCCATCAAGTTTCTTTAATAGGCATTCTTTTTCGGCAGCAAGTTGAGAATTGGCAAGCTGTAAGGCGACTTGTTGATTATTTAGTGATGTAATTTGAGATCCCATTGTTGAAAATTCAACCTTCTTTCTTGCATTTTCTGCTTGTAATACCTCATTCGTCTCTTTAAGAGTATCGTGCTCAAATTGCATGTGCTCAAGTTGTTCACGAATTTTAGCCATATCACTTTGTTCCTCATCACTTGTAAACTGAATATCCTTTTCAACAGTATAAATCTCCTTTTGATGGCATAGGACACAAATGTCAGATGATGATGTTTCTTTGCTGTAATTCAACATAATCTCACGGACGGTTTTAAATGATTCAGGATTTTTGACAAGCTTATCAACAAGAAATTCAACATTTAGGTCATTCTTATCAAGTTCAGACTTGTCAATTCCTATTTTCTCAAGATTTTGTTGGAATTTCTTAGCATTTATTGTCTCGGTAATCATTTGAGATTGGAGTGTCTTTATTGTTTCGATGTCTATTTCATTTTGTGATATTAACTCCTGATTCTTCTTCTCCAATTCTTGAATTTTATTGAGATTTTGTTGTGAAACTTCAAGTTCCTTATTGAGTTGTTTAAGTTCCTTTTCATGTTTCTTCATTACTTCGCTATTACTGTCGATTTCAAGTTCCTTAACTTCGAGATTCTCTTTCGTCTTTAAAAGTTCTTTATTAAGTGTGATGTTCTCCTTTTCGACAAGACCCAATTTACTTCGAATTTCCCCAAGATCCTTTTTAAACGCTTCAAATTCTGATGTCCTTTCTTTGAGCATGTCAAAATCTTTAACTTTTGTATGCAATGACTTCTCTAAATCATTCGCACGTCTTTGAATACTATCACTGAGATTTTGAATTCTCTCTTTTTCCTTTGTCAAGGCTTCAATTTGAAGCTCTAAATCTTGAACTTTAATTTTTTCAAATTCTCGATCTTGTGATGACTTTTCTATTTGAACTTGCTTTGAATCTATAATATCCTGCAATTTTTTATTCTCAGTAAGTGCATTCTTAAAGACATTCTCAAGTTCAGAATTTTGCTGATTCATTCGATCACAAGTTTCCTGTAATTGATCACATTTGAGTTGCAGTTTCTTCTTTTCCTTCTCAATATCAAGTAATTTCTGTGAATTTTCTTTAAAAGCTGATTCCTTTAAATTTTCTAGTGCTGCCAATAGTCTCCTATTTTCCAATTCTAATTTTAAAGCTCGAGTTTGTGCATTATTAGTCAATTGTTCCGATAAACTATTATCACCTGATGGAATTTCTGTTTCATCTAAATCTTCTAGAATTTGTTTATTCTTCTGCTCACTACCAGCTATTAAATTTTTCGTAGTCAATTGAAGTTGTGTATTTTCATCCATCAATTCTTGCATTTTCGTCTTATCAACATCACGTTCTAATGCAATATCATTAAGTTTCTGCTTATATTTAAGTATCTCCGATTCTAATGTCATCACTTGTTCACCACGCTTTCTTGCGTGTAATAATTGATCTTCTAGCATCTCTTTTGTTTCCAGTAACATTCGGTTATCTTCGCGTAATTCCTCAACTCGTGTCTTATAAAATTCAATATCACTTAATTTCTCGCGAAATCTTTGTATTTCAATTTCTAATCTCTCGACACGTTCCGATTTCTCACGCAAAACATCGACTTCATCACGATATGTTGCAGCCTTCCTTGCTTCTGTGTACCAGTCTTGACTTTCTATCTTTAACTTTTCGTATTGATTCCTTGTATGATCTAATTCCTCTCTAGCTTCAATCAATGATTCCGTCTTCTCTTCAAGTTCCTGTCTAATTTTCCTCATCTTTGATTTTAAGTCAGCCAACTCTACAGCTAAATGATTATTTTCAGTTGTTGAGACTGAATTTGAGGATCCGGTTGATGGTGAGGTAACATTTGAACTAATTGAACTATTTCCTTTCCGTGCATTATGTGAATGTACATGAATTGTCTCAGTATCAAGGCTTATTGAACTTATCCAATTTGAATGATATTTGTCTCGTTCCTTTGCAAGTCGTATAATATGTTCAAGCATTCTTTCACGTGGGACATTGTCCGTAAATTCGGGTGTAAGAACAATCGTTTGGCTTTCGGTAACTTGTTGAATCACTGCAACTAGTGAATGTTGTGTTTCGACATCTAGCTCCTTTATGCGTGCTATAAATAATTCCTTATTTGGACATTGAACAGCAGCGCCAAGTAAAAGTGTAAGAAGAAGTTCCATTTGCTCTAAACCAGCTTTTGATTCTACAATAAAGTAAATAAAGTCATAATTTTTTTTATTTCATCTTCAAGGATTTTACATTCTGTTAATTCTTCTTACCTGCATTTTGACCTAAAATATAACAATCGGGTAGAACAAGGACGACTTGACATAATTCCTCCTCGTAAAGTGCTCGAAGATTTTTTACAATTGCATCAATATTTTTACTTCGAGCACCTCCAAGTGAAACTCCTTCCTCATCAATTATCTTTGTGACTATGTGGTTTGGCTCTGGATCTATTTGTAGCCATACTGTATGTATAAGGTATCCATCTAAAAGTGCATGATAGCCCGACAACAATTCTGGTCGTGGGAGGCACGATTCAAGCTGCAATGAAAACATGAAATTGTTGTTAAGAGTTCAACAATGTTAGTGGGTAATAAATGGAAGTAAGAGAATGGAATGGCTTAAGAAAACGGGCTTCGTCATGAAACTTTGGATATTCTGCATGAATTTTAAATTTTAAGGATTTTAATCCAAATTCTGAATTTAAGATTTAAGATTGCAAGTTAAGAAATGAATTTTACTAAGGAATTTTAACTTTAAGTTAATAATTTAAAAATGTTGCTGAATATATGGAGCTTTACTGATGATTGTAACATTCATACCGAACCCGAGACCCGAGTCATTAAATGATTTATGAATGAATTGATGAAGCAATTTATTACTATTTATGGAAAATGTAGAGTATTGATAGAGTTATTTATCTTGTCATGAAGTGATTAACTGAAGGTAGTTTTTATGACATTGTGATCGAAAATGTCTCTCATACTACTCAGGTAACATGGCACTTATTAACCTTCTTATGGTTGAAAGTAAAAGTTTTTTTTCTTCTACATACAATTCACGGTGTTTTGATGTTCTTCACATTTACTATTGTCGACATTTCTACTTCACACATGTGCTATATTACTCTTCAAAACATTATTGATTATTTTTGTGGTTTTTGAAACAATTTTTTAGATGAATAAATTCCAACAATGATTTGAAAGAAATGAAAGAGGAAAAACAAGCAATAAATTTTCTAAAACAATCTCTTGCCCAGGCTGAGTAAAATATTTTCTACATCCGCACTTTGTCGCCTCTGTTTCTTTCTCAAAGAATCATCGGCTTAACCGACAAGTCCATAAAAGCAATAAATTGGCTTCATTAATTATGTTGTTTATTGCATTAATAACTTGGGAAGCCGGCACGAGTGTAGTGCGCGAACGACTTTTATATTTTATGACGTATGCTGTACGTTCATAATCTGAGAACTAAAATACTAAAATTAATCTTGTTATTGTACATTTTATTTTAATTAAGATTTACAATTCTGATTGAACTGCTAAATTATTTCCTAAATGGTGCTGTTTGATTAATTTTATGTTGACAGTAAGTAGTTTTGAATCATATGGAACTACTTTTTCAAACTCGTGTGTCAATCTCAATGATAATTTTATGAAGGATTTTCTGCGATAATTTTTGAAGGATAAGCCAGACACTTAAATTTTGTTGACCAATTAAATAATAAAAGAAATGCTTTGTTGGACATTTGTTTTTACAATAGGTAGTTCAAAAGTTGGATGAACATAAAAACTAAGTCTGCACAAAAAGAAGATCTGACTTATTTTGAATTAGACATCATTTTTAAACAAACTCTTAAGGCTATTAAAAAATTAGCTTCTTGGTATTTTTATACCAATAAATTAACATCAGATATAGATTTTTATGCTTAAACAAAACAGGAAAAGATAATGAATTTAAATTCTCAAACTAGGTTGGAAGTGTCAAAAAATCAGTGATTTTTGTATGCTTTAAATATAGCACAATCATGATAATAATAGGACTATATGCATACAAAGTTTTATAGCATATTGGATGAATAAGTTGCAACTTATATCGTGCTGCATGCTCATAAATAAAATTAAACCTCATTTTAAACTATTTATTTTTTTTTGAAATTAATTAGGTAAGCAGCAGCAGCAGTAAGCAAGCAAGAAAATGAACTATCACTTGTCATGTATTTTTCACACGAAAGAAGTCTTAATCTGTTGTTTGAAAATTCCAACGAAATGAAAAACAAATTTCTTCATTTAAATTAATTTAAATTCCTTTTTAAAGGCTACAACTGCTTAGAAAACATTATTAAATCTCCTCTTATGTAATAACCAATTCCACCCATATTTCTTCTTTTTCTTTTCTAACATTTACATTGCACATTCCTACAGAATACGGCGTGGAGAACTAAGTGGATTAAAGTGCATTCATAACAAATGAAAGTGTCAAATGTTGACAGCAATGACAAGACTAACGTAAATGACAAAAAAAAATTGAATGTTGAGAAAATTGTATTTTTAAATGAGAGGCAAATGAGAAGTTATGTGAAAAGCTGTGTGTGACTTTGTTTAACCGAGTTACACACTAAAATGGAAATTATCCATAAATTATGGAACAGATGGTTGCATTTTTGTGCAGTAAGTAAGTGCGCGCGCGAGAGCTCGTTACAACAAAAATTCATACAACAACAAGCACAGCGACGAATAGTGAAATTCCATATTCAATGCAGTTTTTTTCCTTGCTTTTCAAAAAAGAAGTCTCACATTACATTATAGCGTGGCGGTTGTTGCTTGAATTTTATTTTATTTTTAATTTTATTCATCAAAATGAATAGGATGAATAAAAAGACGGAAAAATGCAATGAATCTAATTTTAATGGAACAGTCAGGGCTGCTGATGATGATTCATACTCGAGGCAAATGTAATAAATTAAATTTTCAATGCACAACAATTCACGACTTTTCATCATCTCTAAGACATCTTTTTTCCCAAAGAAATATTGCAAATGAAATTAGTCTTTTTGCCGTTAAAGAGATTAAAATTTATGCCGTGAGAGAATGACTGGAAAAATCATCTTCGCATAGAGCTTAATGGCTTCGTCTTTTCTTAATATTACAATTTTTTTTTCGGTTAAAATTAATTTGCAGCAATTTGCATTCTTTTGATAATCTTCGTCTTCTTATTATTTATATGCTATATAGTTTACGCGGTGCTTAACTGAGAGTGAGAGAAGTGAAATAAAATTAACATTTTTGAACAAAAGTGAAAAGAAGAGGAACAGAAACTGCAAAAGTTAATGAAAAAAAGCAGCAATATTTTTTTGTTGCTGAGAATATTCATGAAATCTTTGTTATTGCTGCAAACTATGATGAAATGGCCCCATAGGTAAATTCCGAAAATTATTGATTATTTAGGCTTAAATTAATTTTTTTTTGCTATCGCAGACTTATAGAAAAGAAACTTGCAAATATAAATAGCTTAAAATATGATTTTTGTAAATTATGTTAATTAAAACACTCAAATTATTACTGTTTAGCATGCAAATAGACGTTGAAACAGTTTACTCGTAAAATACTGTGATGTAATTTTACAATATACTTTAAAAGGATTTGCTGTCGAGGTTTAAATTAAAAATGTACTGTCTATATGTGATTTATTGCAATATTTTATATTACCAAAGATCTATTTTTATGAGTTTGCTGATTTTAATATTTTGGATCAATTTTAATAAGGACTGGATGAGATTTTTCTATCCGAACCATAAGTTAAGAGAGAGTAAGAGTTCGATTCAAAGTCAAGTAATTTTATCAGCAATCAATCTTCAACTTATCTTAATTGCATATTTATGAGTGAACCATTTTTGGATCAAAAATTGTTTGAGAACACTCATTGAATTTTAAATTATGCTATTCTTTCCATGTCCAATTAAACTATAAATTAATTATATTCCATTCTCTTATCTGTTTGATCAATAAACACATTAAAAACATTTGCTCGGAAATCGTTTGTGAAGTGTAAATGCTTTTTTTTGTTTAATTTGCGTTATGTAGAAATGAAGAGTTCAATATCAATATTAAAAATAAAACAATCGAGTATCAATATTCATAATGATAATGGCATAAAATTGTAAACATGTCAGTGGTCTTGATTCAAAAGGATTTAAAACATTGTAAAGAAATTCTCTTTGATGCTGTAATTCTTACAAATCAATGATCACGATTTTGATCTGATTTAGAACAAACAATTATAGTTGCTAGAATGTGCCAATATCATTCATAGAAATTTTCAAATTTTGTGTGAATTTTTTTTTAAAAATCCTTGACATGCACCAAGATCGAAAAATTCTTAAAAATATCGGTCAACAGTTTTCAATTGGCACACCTTAGCCATGGTCATACAATTCAACCAGAAAAAATAATGCAAAAAATTATACAAGAATTAAATCAAGTTTCTATTGTTTGCTCAATTAAGCCACTCCAGAAGACTTTAGGCACAGCCTCATTTGCTATTAGACACTCCATTTGTTACTATTGTATCTACATAATGGTATTTGCAAAATGAATTTTGAGCATAAAGAGATCAGAAAATTGCATGTGATTTAGCTTAGATGTAGACAAACGAAGCATGTTAAACACAAAGAAACATAAAACACATGTGATGTTGTTGATGATATTTGTGAACAACAAAAATTGAAAGAACTCAAATAAGATGTTCATGCGAGAAGAGAAAATCATAAAAACCGACACAAAAATGCAGAAATAAAAAATAAACAAAAACTTCTAAGTCAGCAACAGCAGCAAGTATTTAAACTTTATTTTAATTTTTTTTTTCTTTCTTCTTCAAAGGCAAGTGGAAAATGACTGTAAAGTGGAAGAAAAGAATGAGAAGGAAAAAAAATAGCGACACTCTTTATAACTACATATGTACGTATATGATTGTTATGCATCGCTGAATATAAAATGGATCATTTCCTCATGCTTGTGTCTCACTATATAAATATACCTTTAGTTGCTATAAATAAAACTTCATATAAATGGAAAATCATCACTAGCTGGTGCGTTTTTTTGTATGATATTACATTAAACGGACATCATAAATGCTCCCTCGCATTACTTGCTGCCTGCCTGCCTGCTGTTACTACAACCGACAACGTCAATAGCTTAACAATCTCAACAATAATGTGGCCTGTATATTTATTGTCTTATGACTTTGAAATATTAGCCGCTTGTGTATATGCTAATACACAGAGTGCTAAGCGATAAGCAAATTAATTCAATGACAGCATATTAGGTGATCAACTTTTTTTAAGTCTCACACTTTTTTAAGAGTGACAACACATCGCCGAATGAATTGTGTGTAAATTAAATGGAAATATCTAACATGCCGTGCCATTAAACATTAAAATTTTATATATTACTATTATTTCTTGGAAATGATTCACCATTTCGTAGGTAATTTCATGTTTTCTTCTGTGCCTTTAATTCATTTGATTTGTTACTTTCGCATGGAAATTTCCTAAATTAATGCGCTAATGCTTTGTTTTATAGTCAGCTGATGAGCTAACCGGCAACTTTTAAAATTCTTGAGTAAAAATATCAAATCGATTGACAAACTTAAAAGTGAAAATGTCTGCAGATTCTGTGTCTACTTGTTCCGATTAAGATAAAAAAAAAGTTTAGGCTTTAAGCATTGTATTTTACAAAAAAAAAACTTTCTACTTGTTCAAAACAAGAAGCAATGGATTAGAGTTCATAAAAATGTGTGGACATTGATTAAAATGATAGGCCTGTTTAGGCTTCGAATTAAGAAGTAAGAAGTAAGACAAAAAATGAAAGAAATCACATTTTATGACAGTAAACATACCAATCTAATCTAATTATCGGATAATCTCTAATTTAGAGAGAAAATGTATAAAAAAGACATAAAAAGCAGAAGTAGTAAAATGTCGTAAGCACACAGGAACTAGAAACTGGATTTAAAGGCGAATTAGAAAAAAAGAAATGTTACGTGCTTGTGTGTATTTACAATATGTAGCCTATAAAGGTCATCGTTTTATTATTGTTACAATAACTTCTTTTTCGGTGTGCTTCTTAGAAAGCAATTACAGAAAAAATAGCAACACTTGATATATCTCCATCTCCCTTACTCCCTTTTATTCCCATTCGTGGACCATAAAATTTATTTCTTTCATCTCGTCTCGCTTAATCCATTTTTAATAATCCACACATAATTCATGTGGAGATAAAAAAATCTTTAACTTACCCATAAAATTAACGGCGATGACAAGAATTCCTCAATTTCAGATATTGACATTGCTGTTTTTTGTGTTTGTAAGTGTAATATCCAAAAGAATCTATTTACACCTGCTTTATTGTGCAGCTCGACAAATTTACAGTATAAAACAATAAAAATAAAAGAACTAAACTTATAGTCGAAATGAGATATGAGAAGAGCAAAAATTTGAAACACAAAAAAACCAATAACTTGGCAAAAAACTAAACTGCTTTTTTAGTGAACTGAATTCTTATTGTTGTAATAACTTTTTTTCTTTTTTCTTTTTCGTATTCACTACATTTCATTTTTTGGATTTTTTTTTATTTAAAATTAAGACTTAAAATCATGAAAGAACACCGTGTTTTTGATACATTCACATTTAGTGCATTCTTATGAATATTTTTGCATATTTTTTGTGTCACTTAAGTTGTTAAAAACTTGTAATAAAATTATAAAAACATCGAGCTATGAATTGTACTGTCTAAACATAAAGTTAACACTGCAATAATACTAAAGAAATACTGTTTAGGCTGATTCACAATTGGTCGACTGAAGTTTCTTATGGGTACCTAACAAAACACCCAAATTCTTATTATTCAGGTAAATTCTTTGACGAAAATAAGTTTTGAAAATATTGAGAACAGGTAGTGTGACTGTTAAAGTTTGTTTTGAACCTACCTGAAACTCGTTTAAACTTATTTAAAAACTGAGTTCCAAAAACTGTGTGGAATGAAATAAGATATTGCAAAATCTGGACGAAACTATTATGTTTATAAATTAATCATCGGATATAAGTAATGTTTTTGTTCTCACGTTTTGGAAAGACAATTTTCAGTTACAAATCTTTAATTAACTCATATACCAGATTTCGTACACTGCTTGAGTATATACCTTAAGTAATGAAATTGTTAAGTAACCTTTTAAATACCTCTTTTTGGGTTATTAAAAACCTGATGTTTGCTCTCAACACTTTTTTTTCCCCAAAAGTTTAAATAAAAAAGAGTACAACGTGACCAAAAACATTTTACAATTTCTTAACAAGGGGTTTGGGTAATATTGAGTGACTACTGTGCTATGTGCTGAATAATTTTTTAAAATTCCTAATAATTTAAAAAGAGAATTTATAATAAAATTAAAGTTGATCTAAAATGCTTTAAGTGATAAAATGTTAAGAATCACTATAGCTTGTTATTAAAGTAATTTTTTCTATTCCTGTCATTCAATTTTGTCGATAAATTCATCCTTAAAATATTGTGTTAATAACGGATAATTCGGACAGAGAATGAATTAATACAGCACATACTTATAAGTTTTGACACGTCTGTTTCCTACCTTGATGTTCCTATAACTCCTCATATATTGCTGAGCAGTAGACTATGTATGTGACTTAACCGAAAAAGTCAGTTCATTATCAGTTTATAACTCGAAAACAAAGTGTTTGTATTGAAATTTATTTTACTAGCTTCCTTGCTTATTTTAAACTCATTTTTAATCCAATTCGAATTAATAGCAATATCAGTCGCAAAAAAACTAACAATCTGCATACATCTGTGATTAATAATAAAGTCAATATAAAAAATAATTTAACTAAATTAGTGCAAAGTGATATAATGAAAAAGAAAGAACAAAGTGCACAAAGGAAATAGCAATTTTACAATTTTTTTATAAGGACAGTATTTCATCAAGTTTTAATTAATGACTCGAAAATAATTTTAACCGCATAAATGACGATAATAATTAAAAAATGTGATAATTGATAGCACAAATGTATAGTAACAAAATATAAAGTACATAAAAATCGAATGGCCTTGAAATTTTCTTCGTCTTGTGGTCAATGATCTGTTAAAACGTCGATAGCACAAATATTGGAAAGAAATTTTTTTCACTGCTCACACACAATTTTTTTTTTCGTACCACAAGAAGCAAAAAAAATCACGAATGATTCATAAATTCTTGAGTTAATAAACTGCACAACATATTTTTAACAAAAAAATAATAATAATAATAATAAAATGACTGACTTAATAACGTCAAATCGCACTGAATTAATCGATCGCTTACGTCGATTTCAGGAAGAATTAAATCTTGATTTTGAGTATCGTGATGTTTATCAGGACTTGCGTCTATCCAAAACTGATTTTCAATGGATCCGAAATGGAAAAGATAATGTGGAAAAAATTGATCGATTCATCTTTTATTATATTTATAAAATCAAGGATGTCTCGCCATTTCTAAATGCATTAAAGATTCCTTACTATTGGATTTACCAGAAAATATCAGAAACAAATGCTAATGATAAGTGGATTAATGATTATAAACGTGCCATTCAAGACATTCCAGATAATCAAGACTGGAACGTTCATCGAACAGATTATTTATGGGAGATTCAAAAAGGCCTTAAGGAATTAAAACGCGGAAACTATTTGATTCTGTTTGGAAAACTCGGATTTGGAAAGAGATGGCTCGCAGTGTAAGTATATAGCTCTGATTTTAGTCAATGATTAATATGCATGAAGTTCAAAGCAGTTGTTCGTGTTCATATAAATGGAAATTCTGCATTTCAATTAAACATTTAATTCTACTCGACTTAAACTGTAAATGATTGTACTTCACTTTTAATTATTGTTAATGTTGGTCATGATTCTTTGTCATAACTGAATGCGTCTAAATTTTTTAAGCTGAAATGATTTGTTTCTGGGTTTTTTATTTAAAATTTACTTTAAAATGTAATTCGAGTTTTGTTGGTTTGAAGTCTATCTAGCTCACACTTGGTTAAATCATTTTTCGTTAAAACATTTTCCCCTAAAATTAAAATGTGTACATCATTAAAAATTCCTTTTTGTTAAATCAGATTCCTGCATTTGCCTATGCTGCCTACCAAAGAAATTGAAATCACTCAATTATTCATCAACTTAAGTAGGGATTTTCAGTGGGATTCAAATTTTGATGACAGCAAGTGCTGGGATTTTTTGGGATCATATAGTAAGGGGCTGTTCACTTATTACGTAACGCGAAAAAATGACTTTTTAGACCCCCCCCCTCGTAACAAAATTTGTATGAAAAAAAAATTTCCTTGTTTGAACCGTAACAAAATCTTAGACCCCCCTCCCCCCTAAATGCGTTACGTAATAAGTGAATGGCTCCTAAGCAAATACATGTAAATGTGGGATAATGTAGGTGAATGAGGGACGATTTCACAATTCTTTCCCCTTGCCTTTATGACTTTAAAACTTTTCAGTTATCTTTAATGCAGAGCTCGAAGTCGACTCGAGTTGACTCGGGTTTTTTCTTCGAGCTCTGCTTTAGTGTCGTCCAAAATTATAAATTTGCAGCTTATCAATTAATACGAAATATGATGAAATTAATGTTAAGACACTGAAACATATGCAAAAATTGCTTATGTATGGATAACAATGTTTTCTACCTACAGCAGCGTATGAAAATTTCTTCTTTTTCGGCATTAATATTTTCTTGAGTAAACTAAAATAGATTTCATGCATGCCTTATTTTCCTTTATTAGACAATTCATATTTACGATGTCGCAATAATTATTTTTTTTTCCTTTATTTATTTTTAGAGATGCATGTCGTGATTATAGTGTAATAAGCAAAATGAACTTCAAAATCTACTGGTTGAATGTCAGTAAATGCAATACATTAGAATCGATCCTCGACAAATTACATCGACTCAAAGTTCTCATGAATGTTGATGACTTAGACATAAAATATAATCCATACAGTGGCAATACGAAAAATGAAATAATTCACATGAGAACACATTTGAGACGAATTTTAGACAATAAAGAATACAGTGATGCATTGATTGTTTTAACGGATGTCCAAGATGAAAACATAGTTAAAGCATTTGATTTGAACTGTAAAATGCTTATCACTACAAGACACATGGAGAAATTAGAGGTCATAGGAAGTGATCGTCGTAAAACAATTGAGATTAAGGAAGGTTTTGAACAATCCGAAAGTCATGAACTGTTTCTTAAAGCATTTAAAGAGACAAAAAGTGAGTTACCAGAAGGGATGATTGGATTCATAGATGAAATTCATAAGAAATGTTCTGGACATCCATTCATCATGTCATTAATTGCAAAAACATTCCAAAATTCTAATGAAGGTGAAAGTGATCGACGAAAACGATGTGATTGCTGGATTAAGAACCTAGACGAATATAGTATTTTTAAGAATGATGATGATTATAAAAAAATAAAAATGCCAGTGGACGAGTCAATTAAATTTCTGGATCCAAAACAATTGGAAAATTATAAGAGAATGGTTGTCTTTAGTGATAACATTGAGGTGCCATTAGATGTACTCGCCAAATTATGGGAAACAGATCTTCAATGTACGGAGTTATTGGTAGAAAAGCTACATAAATATTCACTCATTGAAAAACAGATGAATGGCGCGGTTTCATTGCATTATGTTCACTATAAATATTTAAAAGAAGAAGTCGACGATGAGCAGCAAGTTTTATATCATCAACTCATGCTTGATCAGTACAATGTAGAAAATATTTTTCGTAAAAGAACTGAATTGGAACTAGATTTTCCAAATGATAACTATTTTTACTTTTATATTGGATATCATCTTATTGGTGCTAAAAAAATTGAACTATTCGAAATGTACCTAGACTTTGGATTTTTAGAAGAAAAAATTAGATACGCAAAATTGCCAAACACACTTGGTGACTTAACAAAATTTAGTGAAAAAATTCATCGTAATAATAGATATAAGACAGAATTATTAGAAAAGATTTGGTCTTTCCTTCCAACAATAGAACAACTACTTTTTAAATCACGCGACACAACACTTCTTCAATACGCACTTACAAGCGAAGGTCTTATCAAGGTCGAGGCAGAGAAACAAGCGAGAAAATTTGTAGATCGCGTGTGGATGGACGATAAAAATCATTTACAAATTGAAAATCAAATAATTGAGCTACAAGATGGATCACAGCCAAAAATTGTTCGATTTGTTCGGCCGAATGAACGTGATGATCTTGTATGTCTGATTTCACTGTATGATAATAATATTCTTATGCATGATATAGCAACGGACTACACAAATAAGCCTACATTATATCGAAATGACTTACCACATAAAACAATAATAGATATGCAAATATTCCGTAATCAAGCATTTTTGGTATTGAATGATGCTGGAAAATTGTCAGTCTATAATCTTAAATGGAATACATCACGCCGCCCATCAGCACCTACGAAATTAAATACAAATGATTTGTCGACAGATCATCATCCATTTGTCATGGACAATAAGGATGATACTTTTACTTGCTTCAGCATTATAGAGCAACCGAATAGCTACAATGTTGATCTAATTGTTGGAACTATGAGTGGCAATCTGAAGCTTTACAAGTGGCTGCCAAAAATGAATAAATTTGAGGATAATAAAACAGATATCAAAACGAGATTCGCTAATCTCTTCCGTATAGCGCACATTAATGAGTATGTCATGCTACTCAATAAGAATGGAGACATCAAATTTATAAATCTAATTAACTCTGGACCATTGGGTACAAACGTACAATTACAAACACTAGCAAAACCTGTTAGTTTACATCAAGGAAAATGCAGTAATTTAGGTGCTCCAATAACAGTTTGTGTGTCGTGTGACAAAGTGATTCAAATTACCCACGAAAAATCTAGAATGTATCCACAATCTCCATTCATTCAAATTCAATGTGAAGATATTTTTATGGCAAGTGATGAATTTGACGAGAACAAAATTCTCTCAAGTGCTGTATCAAAAGACTTCCTTTACATAGTTCTTGGAACTGCAAAAGGAATCATAGTCATAGATCGTATTGAGAAGAAAGTTGTGTCACGTCGAAATGTCAGCGAGCAAGTCATAAGTTTGGATGTTTATCGATATCCTGGAGAAAAAATGTATCTTTTTATATCAGTTTTTGAGGATGCTGGACAAATTATCAATCTTCATGCATTCATGCGATCACCTGATGATGATTTCTCAATGCTTAAGCATGAAATGCATTATTTGGTTGGAGAAGACATTTTTGATGTCAAAAAGATCAGCCATAATGAATGGAGTCTTGTAGCTGTTGATAGCAAAAAGTACATTCAACAACTAAATAGTAATGACCACTTTTCCAATCCAGAATGGGAATTTCCATTTCATTTTCAAATTAAAAAGATTTGCTGTTATGGTGACAATGAAGTTCTTGTTGGATGTACAAATGGAGAAGTTCATAGATTAGATAATAAAGGATCTCATCAATTAGTAGCTGAATTGACAGGCGAAATTACGTATCTTGAGAATTTCGATCAAGCAGTTATTATAAGCACAAATAGCTCTTACAAAATACTAGGGACAATGAATGATCAAAGTGGAAAGGCAACCAAAGCTTATCGATATGATGATAATACTTTACTTGTCATCAAAAAAGATTGCTCAATAGAGTTTATTGACCTTAGCACAAAGAAAATAGTAGCTAGACATGTATTATTGGATGAGGATAGAACATGTATTGCTCAATCCTATTGCAACGCTTTATTAGCAATAGGAACTGTAAAGAACAATAACATCTATTTATGGAAGATCACTGATGCGAATGCAGAGGGTTTTGAAATGCAAAGTATTCAGAATCAATTAGATGACCAAATTTCATGCATTTCCATTTCACCGGATAAAAATGTTCTTGCTGTTGGGTGCTTTAATGGAAATATTGAGGTATGAAAATTTACTTTTAGACTTTATGACATTTTTGTTAATATTGTTTTTTAACAGCTTTTTGATCTGACACAACTGATTCCGATTGCTAGACTCGAATCTCATAAGCGCTCAATTATGAATCTTCTTTTCTCACCTTGGCTGGAAAATGAAGGTCCACTAATTTTATTGAGTCTGTCAGAATCTATAAATTTTTGGAATATAACACATGTTCAAAATAATCGATCCAGTCTTAAGAGAATAGATGACTCATCGAAAACCAGAGTTAGTCAACGCTTTAAATCACCATTGAAGATTTTTTCAGCATCCGAAAATAAGCTAGAAACATCAATGATGAATTTAAAATTAAAGGAAAGAAACTGGAGCAATAAAACTGGACCAAATGATAAGCCTGAACTTCTATCATGCATCAAGTTCATTGGCAAGAGTGCAAAAAAGGTTGTGGCAAACGATGACTTTACTCATTTTGTTACTATTGATAATGAAGGTAATGTTTACAATTTAAGATTGATTAATCAAGCAAAACAGTTATTGACTATTGATTACAATGGGAATTCTTCAAAAACTTATGAATGACAATTAATTTTTATGGCGGAAGCTTTCATTCGATTCCTCTTTGTCATATTTTATTATTTTACATTATTAAATGTATTTCTTAAAAATTTAACATTGTGAATTACGGCTCAATGTCCATTTCAATGAGATTTACTTTAAGCAAATTTGTGCCAGAATTACTTATTAAATACTAAATTTTAAGAATGATAAGTAAAGTGATATGTTACACACAACGTCCCGAAATCGTAATAGAATTAAAATAATTTTTTTACTAACGATAGTATTAAGCTATGACTGAAATTATAATTTTCTTTTCTAAATTTCAATGTTTTTAGCTAATTTGATTTAAAAACTTATTTTCATTCTTTTTAATATTTTTTATCTGTATCGATTTAATCTAAATAGTTAATCACTTATCCTTCTCGAAAAAATCATTGCCATTTGCATTTTTAGAAGAAATAGAAGCATTTCAGAAAATGTGCATTTTAATAGTAAATTCAAGGTGATTGAAACATGAAGTTCTCTTTGTAGAATGTTATCAAGGCAGTCTTTGTTCTCCACATGGTTAATTTCATAGAGCTTTGCAATAAGAATATCACAATTACTTACATGACTGTTTATATAACAATTCTTATTGACAAAATATTAATTTTTGAGTGATTTCATGGAAAATTTGAAAAATAGTCAAATTGAAATCATGCATACATTCGTAGTGAATTAGGAGCTAGAAGTCGACACACGTGTGTCAACTCGACTATATTGGCTTCAAGCTCGCTCTAGCCAATTGAAGAAGCAATCGCGAATAAAAGACACATTTTAACGTAGATAAACAATTTCAATAAAAAAAAATAGATCCCGATAATTTAATAACATAAACTTTGTATCTCGATGATCTTGTACAATTTGTCATTTTATACCTATACATTTTTTTAAAAGTAATAAATAAAAGAAGCAAATCTTTATGGAACAAACTCAAAATACATCTTTTATTATTTTAATAAGTTTTATAGATATAAATATTTGGTGGATAATTTTTCTATACATCCTCAAATAAATGTTTTCACTCGAAAAATGGATTATTTTAATGCTTTGTATGAAATTTTGTACAAAATAAGATTCATTCAACTTAAATGAATATGAGAGACTTGACTAGAATACGAACAGTTTGAAAATCGTCCATTATCATTACATACAGATCGTTGATAACTTACTGGTTCTGATAGACCTTTAAAGCCAAATGATTTTCTTACTAGCTCACGTAGTAATGCAGAAGTTTTAGCTTGAGCTTTCGACTGTTCAACAAACTTCTCTTTCTGTTCAGCAAACTTCTTAAACTTCCCATCTCGTTCTTCAATCCTATGCTTCAAGTGTTTTTTTTTACGGGTTTCTTCCTTTAGAACTTCTTCATAATTTTGACCATGAATTTGTTGATGAATTTGATTATCAGTTTGAATTCTTATGCGATATATATCAAGATTTTTACTTCTTGTATTTTCAGCTTTATGAATTTTCTCTTCCAATTTTTCACAAATCGACTCACGCCATAATTGCTCGTCAAGATTCTTCTCTTCACAATTAGATTGAAGAGCTTCAATCCTCTGATATTCTTTTTGACGCTTTCGACACTCTGAAATTTCTCGCTCCATTTCAATATTTTTTAAAATGTTTTCTGATCGTATCATTTTGGCTTCAATATCATTTAGAATCTTTTCAGACATTTCCTTATTTTTTTCCTCAATATAATGCCTTCGTCTTGCAAGTTCTGCTTGTTCTTTTACTCGTTTCTGATTTACCATTTTAATATATCTCATTTGCTGTTCGTATTTTAACTTATCACGTTCTGATTTTTCATCTTCCCAGTATTTCCTTGCCATCATTGCGTTTTCAACAAATGCAATTTCTTTTAAATTCTTCATTGACATTCTATCGAGAATCTTTTTGTCATGATCGGATAAGTTAATAAGTGTCTTGACAGTATTTTTACGTGAAATTGGAAGTAAATTTGTGAGACTTGAACTTTTAAAACGATCACAAAGATTTTTAAGACTTTCAGGAGCATCAGCTTTTAGAGAATTACATAATTTTGTTGATTTCTTGTGGCCTTTTAATTTCTTTGTCTTTAATGATGAACTTCCTTTAAAGCCAGGCAAATCATTTGTAGAAAATGATCGGTTTGTAAATTTTAATTGATCTAAATTGAAACTTTTTGGTGGCACTGTTAATTTGACGTCATATTCCTCAGTATTTTTTTCACTGCTTGTTGTTTCGGATGATGGCCCAATTTTTTTCTTTGACTTTTTCCTTTTTGTACTTTTTGTTTTCTTTTTATCCTTAAATGGATATGGTCCTAAATTACAGCACAAATTATCCAACGAGAAGTTAATTTTTGCAGTTAAATCTAGCTCGGAACAATCAAAGCAGCAACAGTCTTGACATTCAGTGGAGAATGCTTCATCATAATTGCCATACTCTTCTGAATATAGGTTCTCAGAACTTGTTCCCATTTTCTTACTTATTGAAGACTTCTTACTTTTCTTGGACATTATTTATACTAAAATAATTTAAAGAGAATCTCTTATTGACTAAAATATTAAATTTTTAAATCTTTTTCACCATTAAAAAATTCCGTGAGTTTAAAAATTTTATCGATCAAGCATAAAAGTTCCAAGCGACCCAGCTAACTTCAATAGTGTGGAACAATTCATACATATGTTTCTCACAACACAATCATTTCTAGATTAAAGGAAAAATGAGGGGAAAAATATAAATTTTCATTCATTCAAAAAGGAATAGTTTTGTTCTTCTTTTTTTATTTTTCACTTTTTGCTTTTCCTTGCTTTCATTATTTTGCAAAGCAGAAGGAGAGCACGTGAAAATATTTATTTACGCGCGCTTATTTAACACTGGCACGATTCCCTTACGCAAATCATAAATCATATATATAGTAACAACATTTTATATTTATACAGCCACTTATGGCTTGTTTACTTTATTTTGAATACAAAATGAAGCATTAAAATTAAGCATAAATATTGTTTTTCGTTCTCAAATACATAAAAATATGTCAATAGTAATAAAAAATTTCTTTTTCAATGTTAATGATAGTTATAAAAAGTAATTAAAATTTTTAGTCATGTGATAATTTATAATTCACGATTTAGATACAGTTTGCATATTCTTTTCATAAAGTTTGCACAAAGTTTGACAATTCAGCATCAACATTAATTGCATTATTGAATTTTTCAGGAAAATCCATTCGGACCTGTTTTACAAATGCAAAAATATGCTCACGTACTTCATCCTTACTGTATTGATTTTTATGAAGAACTGTTAATGCTGCTAAAATGATTCGTTCTAAAAATTGCAATAAAATTTCGTTTCCTTGTCGATATAATAATTCTAACGATTTAAAGACATTGTCATTTTCTACATAATCTTGACGTAATGGAAGATATGAGATAAAAACTGGTAAAACATCCTTTAATGGAACTAATGAACTATTAATTATAATTAATCGTGCTAATGTTCCACAAATGTTGTCCAAAATGCCTCCATGACTTTCTTTTGCCACTAAAGCTGATAGAGCTGCTAAAACTTGTGGATATGCTCTGTAAAAAAATGAATCGTTAAGACTTTAGAAAAAATTTATATAATTTTCAATTCACTTACTTAAAACTGATTTGTCCACTGTGCATGCAAAGCTCTCCAATAGCGTACACTGCATTGTTTCTTACTTCCTCATCATTTTGGTCGTTAATTAATTCAATAAGAAGAGGAAGTAATGCATCGAAATATTGTGACGAAAATTCTCCAAGAGGTAAAAAGCATTCGGATATGACACCAACGGCCATTGCACGTTGTGATTGTGCCATTTCATCTTTGCTTTTAGATTTTTGCTGTTTAATGAAATAAAAAAAATAGTTAAGTTCTTTATTATTTACAGATTAAAATTAAACTTACGACTTTTCCAATGAAAAATGGGAAAACTCGACCAAAGTAAGCATAAAACTCTTGTGTGCTCATAGCTTTTCCGAATTTAGGTAAAATTTCTCCAGCAGACTCTAAAATTGCAATATCATATTCACTTTCTTCGTCATCATCTTCTTCTGGTTCATCAAATTGGCATGTAATTTTTCCATGTAAAGTATCATAAATACACGAGAAGATAGCATCTTTGTGACCTTCAACTTCAACTGCTGCTGTTCCTAATGCTTCAAGAATTTGATTGAATGATTCCAACGCTGCCATAACAACAATTCTTTCCTCATCAGTGTGAATTATTTCACTTAATTTCGGAATAAGAATTAATAAAGTGTGCTTAACACCTTCAACATCTTGAAGTTTATACAAGGAAATAACAAATTGACAAAGTGCTTCAATGGATGATTGTCTAATATCCTCATTTGGATATGGAAGAAGTTTAAAGATCTCTTCAAACGATACTTTAATATATGGAGCAAAAGCAGCACCAGTATGTTCAGCAATTTCCTTCAAAGCAATTATAGCCTCCTCTTTTTCTTCCATGTATGAATTTTCAATACCAAGAATTTCATCGTCTTCATCATCTTCTTCTCCATCAGAATTATCAATATCAAATTCTTGGTCATCATTTTCTTGGCTATCCTCAATGTCTTCAGAATCCTTTCCATTGGACAAAACAATACTTTCGGTACTCTTAACACTGTCAATCATTGATGTAACAATTCGATCTAAAGCAGATCCAATTTCTTCATGAAGAACTGATGCCATTGAAGCGAATAAATTGTAGCAACTTCTCTTTAAATCAGGATCATTTTTATCTTCAATGAGTGCAAGACCCAAATGCATTGTGTCAACAGCTAATGGAATGAAATTGTCATTTCCGATTGTTCTTGCAAGAGCTGCCAATGTGTCAATCGCTGCTGGTCTCAAAGTACAAATAGCTTCATCATCAGATTTAACTAAATACATTCGAAGACCTTCAATTAATTGCTGAAAGTATGGGACCAAATTTGATTTTGCAGCATTTGCTGTAGCTGAGAGACAGCTTAATGCAAGTTCTCTTAAATGAATCGAGTTCGAAGGTGCCATACAATCGAATAGACGTTCCATAAGAACAGGTAAATGAGGAACTAGTGCATCTTCAAGATTTTCGCAAAATGTCTCAACTGCATAAAATACACGATCAATATGCTGTGGTTCCTTTTGTCCTGATCTAATTTGATTTGACAACATTTGTAAATAATCAAATAGAATTGGCAGTATTTCTTCAGAAAATTGCGAAATTTCTGGCTGCAAATGTTCCGAAAACTGTCCTAATGCAAACAATGAACTATTACGAATTATAGGATTTGGATCTGTTATGCCAGTTTTAATACAGTCCAATAATGGTCTCAAATATTTCTTGCAAATTGTTGAACTACATCCTTCAGCAATTACAGCAATTGAAAGATAAGCAGCTTTCTTTTGCAAAGGATCATTAGATGTTTGTAATGCTGGTTCCAATAATTGCAATAAAGGAGGAATTAGAGTTTTTGGCGGAATATTCAAAGCTAAAACGTCTAGAGTTTGTGTAGCACAATTCATTGGAGTAGTAACTTCGTTACTTCCGAAATATTCTTCTGTGTCGTCACCCGTATCATCAGAAGGTAAAGCCATTAATTCAAATAATGTTGCAAGAATTGGTTCAACGAGTTTTTGTTTCAAAATCACCTTCTTCTTGATTCTTACGAGCCATCCGATAAATGTGATAGCCTTAACACGATTTCCTTCTTCAACATCCTTGTTACGTGAAATTTCGATGCAAAATTCAATCAACAATTTTATGTGATTTGTCAAAAGTTTTGGGGCGTGATCAGCTAAATTCTCGAGAAAATCAAAAGCATCAATGAATTTTTCTTCATCATTAGCAAGAGTCGATAAAGCTTTAACGACATATGGAACCGCAGCTGTATAAATATGTTCTCCTGCATTGTTACCAAGAATAAATGGTCCTAAATGTGACATTGCCATAATAAGGTTGAAAATGACTGGATTTGCCATGTTGTTTGTTTGTTCAGCAGCCATCAAAGCTTGGGAACAAAACATTCCAATTGTTTCAATGTGTGGAATGAACTGATCAGGTGCAGTTTCTGTTAGTATTGCAAAGGTTTCAGATCCTAATTGATTGATGCGAGAGTCAGTTGACTGTGCACTTTCAAAAATAAATTTCAATACATCACTGCTCCACTGATTTTTCTTGGGAAATTCATGATTTATCAAACTACCAACAACTTGAGAAATGGCAGTTCGCACATATTTCTCTGGTTCATTTATGATGGCTTGCAATAATCCATTTTTAATTATTTCTTGATGCTCTTGTGGGACCATATTCCAGTATCTTAATTTCATCAATCTTTTTCTCAAAACGACTGCAGCATATTGTCTCAATTGAGGCTGAGTAGATCTTGTTGCTATTTCACACAGAACATTTATTGACTCTGGACGTTTTAAAGCATCGTTCAGTTCTTCAGTTGCCTAGTCATGAAAAAAAAACATGTGAATTAGTGAATCATGTTAAGTTCAATTAGGAATGTGGAAATAGAAGAAGAAAAATCACATTTTTCTTTTCGGAGCACATTTTTTTCAAATTTGAAATTTGCTTTAACTTACCTTTTGTACATTTTCGGCACTGAGAAGGTTGTTAAGGATTACTTCCATGGGTTCCATTTTTAATCAACTTGATAATCAATAACAGTGTTTAATTATTTTAATCTCAAGATATTCTGGACGACAAATGACTTGGGGGTCTAGTCTTAATAAATTTAAAAAATGGACCAGACGTTATGTCAAAATGCGTCAAGTTGAAGTTTGCCAGACAGTCACAAATCTTTTGTTTACATAAAGTTTCTATATTTATTCAAGATTCGAGCTCCCTGTTTTTAAAGTTTGAGATATATAAAATTAAACTATAATAAATAATTAAGATCTGAGGTAGTTTTAGGTAGATAGGAGAACAATGAGTGATAAGGAAACAAAAAAGGTATGAATTTTACAAACTTTCAACGAAAATCAATAAAAACTTTGATTTGAGAAACAAAATAAACAAGTTAACTTTTTTAAGACTGAAGCTGGAGAAGCTAGCGGAACTAGTAATAACAACAACGCTCCAAATAATACTGAAATACATCCAGCAATAAAAAATGTAAGCGTCTTTCTAAGTTTGGAGAATTGTGAGAAATTCATTGATAAAGAGAATCACTCAGCCCGCATTACTAAATTAAGAGAACAAGGCCTGAGTCACTTGCAAGAAACTAATTGGATGTATCAAAACAACTAAACTATTGCTCTTTTCTTGTATTGAAATAATTTATTTAAATTTCTTTGAGTATTGTTTATTGTTTAAATTTTAGTCCATAGCACCAATTTATATTAATAAACATAAAAATTCTTAATTAATTTTGGATCTAATTCTTAGGTTGATGAATTGTGGTTGCTGGATTGAAATAAAGTGGGGGATATGCTTGATGATGAGTGAAAGTTACGTCAGGTTTATAGTCATTATTATTACTTTTAGTAGTTGACTGTTTCTTTGACTTTCCTGGATTCATATGCTGCTCGATATGCTTTCTTAAATCCTATAGTAGTTAAAGATGCTAATTCATATTTTTTTTTTGGAAAGATTTAGGAAACTTACATTTTCTGTTACAAAACGTCGCTTGCAATTAGTTAATGGACATCCAAGTGTACTTGACATGTGCGACTTTTCATGCTGAGAAAGTATTGCTTGCTGTCGAAACTCTTTGAAGCAATTTTTGCATTTATAGGGTTTTGCTCCAGTGTGAACTCGAATGTGCTGGTTAAGAATGGTCTGTTGACGAAAAAACTTTTGGCATTCATTGTAGGGACATTTGTATGGTTTTTGTTGGAGATGAATTCGATTATGCTGAAAAGATAATGACATAATTGATAACAAGAATGTCAAAATCCATAAAATAATGCTTACTTGTTGTAAATGTGACTGCTGGCGAAATCTTCTACCACAATTAACAACCATACAGCTGTAGGGTCTATTCTCAATGTGAATACATCCTCTCTGTACGAGAGTTGATTTTTGCTTAAATTCTTGCTGACATATTGGACACCTTACATATAAAGGCATTGCATTCTTTCCATTTTTGATGTCTTCCGGACTATCCCCGTTTTGTAAGTTTCCAAATACTGAGTGGGCAGTAAGTTGTGATAACGAATCTTTCACATCCTGATTCTTCTCATTATGAATTTCGTCGGGATAAGGGACATTTTGGGGCCATAAAGTTCCACTATTATTGCCAAGGTTTCGATAAACCAACTGCGAAGAAGCATCTACGAGAATCTCTCCATTAATCATCTGCAATACTTGTTTAATGAACACAAGCTTACCACTATGGATTCTAGTATGTTGATTTAAAATTGCTTTTTGACGAAACCGTTTGCCACATGATGGATAGTCACAAGAGAATGGTTTTAAGTCTAAATGAATTCTTTCATGCTGGACGAGCGTTCCTTTTTGTCGAAATTTCTTCTGACACTAAAAAGTTTGTTATTTTTCTAAGCTATAATATATAAAAGTAATAAATAAAACATAATAATTACCACTGCACATTCGAAAGCTCTGCCTTCATCGTTGAAAAAACGATTTTCTCTTTCTTGTTGCTGATTTTTGTTCTGATCATCTGGAAAACTCACAGAATTGACCTTTAATGTATCATTGCTTGCTGGCTGAATATTAGCTGAAGGATAATTCTGGTTGAATGTTTGAACGTTTTGTGCAATTGCTGTGTTTCCATTCCCATAATAATACTGTGCTGGACCTTGATTTTGAGCATTTACTACTGGTTGGATTGATGCATTCTCAGGTTTCTTTTGTTGATCATTATTGTTGTACATATTACTTGCATTCCATGATTGTAAATTTGGCGTGGAAATACAATACATAATTTGATTTGGTATGCCTGTAAAAAAAGGAGACGCCGTCGGTATGTTGATCTCCATTATATGATCTTTCAATGACTAGAATGGAATAAGAAACTTCTTATTATGCAACTTTCATTCACAATGAAAATAACATTGACCTATATCATCAACGAAGGATGTTCTTTTGACGGCGAAATGGGAGAAGAAAAAGAAGAAAAATGTGTGTATACGTTAAGCACATGGAAAAAAATATCAACATGTTTATATTAGGAAAAAAGAAAAGCCGGTAAAAAAAGAATGAAAAAAATGAGAGAAATTTTTTCCTTCCTTTTATATGCTTTTTTTGCACAAACACATTGCAAATAGGATATATGTAGAATGTATATATACGTTTCTCACAATTTTTTTTTCTTTCCTATAGAGGCAACATAAACTTGAAAAAAAATGAGTTTTTGTTGTTATAAGATAATGTAAAATAAACATTGGGTACATTTCGGATTGGATTTTCAATTTTCCTTTTTTTTTGCATGTTTTCTTTTAATCTCGAATTGAATTATTTTTACAACTTGGATAGCACTAAAGGAATTTTGAAAGCTTTACTTTAAACATTCATTTTGAGTTCCAAAATTTTTCTCGTTAATTTTTTCCCACATAAAACTCTAGTCTAGGTATACTTTTTCAGAATAGTTTTATGCCATTTCTAAAATTTTTCGAATTTTCCTGCGCAAATTTTTTTGCATCAAATTTATCTACTTTTTGCAATCACTTCACGAGCTTTGCAACACACCATTGGTCTAGAAAACTTTTTAAGTCAGCATTAGACAACTTTTCCGACTTTATAAGCAACGATTAATAATACTATCGGTTAATAAAATATATGCAACATTACCTGCGAAAATTCTTAATGAGACTGAGAAGAGAAAAATCTCTTTACGGAAAAAAAGGCTTTTTTCATCTGTCTGTAATGGTATTTATTCGTCGGTCGCATTTCTTTTAAATGTTCGGAAAATTATTACGTACGTAAAGTGTAAACGTCATACGTAAATGTAAACTTATTGCTAGTGGCTGACATTAAAAATATTGGACAGACTTAAAAAAATATTTTAATAAATTACTAGACAAAACAGAAGCTATACATTCCATAATGTCTGAAGAAATCAATGGAAACATGGTACTAGCCAGAGCACTCAAAGAACAGGTATGATACTCTTTATTTGCATTGAAAATTAAAAGAACTTTGTAAATATTAAACATCTTATCATGTATCAAAGTTCATAATTGCTATTTTTATAAAAGGGGATAGAATACGTTTTTGGGATTGTTGGTCATCCAGTTATAGAGTTGTCGATGGCTATTCAAAGTGTTGGACTCAAATATATTGGAATGAGAAATGAACAATCTGCAACTTATGCTGCTCAGGCAATAGGATATTTGACAAAGAAACCTGGTGTATGCTTAGTGGTTTCTGGACCTGGATTACTTCATTGCACAGGTGGAATGGCTAATGCACAAATTAACTGCTGGCCTTTGCTCGTTATTGGTGGAGCGACTAATGAAGGTAATACCATCAAAATGCTATCTTAGGAGTTATCATATCGTATCTTATTAATCTTTAGATCATGAAGGAATTGGTGGATTTCAAGAATGTAACCAAGTGGAATTAAGCAGACCTTATTGCAAATATGCTGCTCGTCCTCCAAATGCTTCTTTAATTCCAACACATGTTGAGAAAGCTGTTAGACTTGCTTGCTATGGACGTCCAGGAGCTTCTTATCTCGACTTTCCAGGAAATATCTTGCAATCAGTTATAAGTGTGGATAAGATTGTTTCTTGCTATTCGCATCCAGAACCACCAATTCCATTCCCAAATCCAAAAGAAATCATCAGTTCTGCTGATGCTCTCTGTAGTGCAAAAAAACCATTAGTTATCATAGGAAAAGGTGCAGGATATGCTCGAGCTGAAACTTATTTACGACAACTTATTCATCAAACCAACTTACCATTCTTGGGTATGTCTTTTAGTCATTTATCAAATGCACAGAATTACAATTTATTTTTCTAGCAACGCCAATGGGCAAAGGAGTAGTTCCAGATACAGCAAGACAAAGTGTTGCTTCTGCCAGAACATTAGCTCTTCAAAAAGCTGACTTAATTCTTCTTGTTGGTGCACGATTAAATTGGATTTTGGTAATTCCTGATTTAAAAAATTAAGCAAATTGATAACATGCTTATTTTTTAGCATTTTGGTCGTTCTCCACGTTTTGATTCAAACGTTAAAGTTATCCAAGTCGATATTGTACCTGAAGAAATGCATAACAGTATCAAGAGCTTAGCAGCAATTCAGTCGGATATCTTGCCATTTGCTGATGCCCTTGTTGACGAAATGTCAAAGAGAAAGTTCCGTTTTGATGAAAACAACGAATGGTGGAAGGAACTAAATGATAAATGTGAAAAGAATCAGAAAATAGTAAAAGAAATGTCATTGGATAACAGTGTGCCACTTAATTATTATTCTGTATTCCACAATGTTTATGACATGATCCCAAATGACTGTATTATTATCAGCGAAGGAGCTAATACTATGGATATTGGACGTTCAATTTTATTGAATAACTTACCACGGCATCGTTTAGATGCAGGTACATTTGGAACTATGGGTGTTGGGCTAGGTTTTGGAATAGCAGCTGCACTTTACTGTCGAGATTATTGTCCAGGAAAGCGCGTGATTTGTGTAGAAGGAGATTCAGCTTTTGGCTTCAGTGGAATGGAAATTGAGACTATGATTCGTTATAATCTACCTGTTGTAATAATCATAGTTAATAACAGTGGAATTGGAATGGGCTTTTCAAAGGAGGATTATAAAAGCATTCAAGAAATGGGAGATCCTTCATTGACCATTCCTGCTACAGCTTTAAATGCTGAAACTCATTATGAGCACATGATGAATATGTTTGATAAGAAGGGCTTTTATGCTAGAACCATTCCAGAGCTGAAAAAGGCTGTAAAAGAAGCTTTGATCCCAACAGATCATCCATCAATTATTAATGTATTTATTAATCCTCAAGCGGATCGTAAGCCTCAAACATTCAGCTGGTTGACTGAATCGAAATTGTAGGGAAGCTATTATTAATTTATGGTAAAGGGTTCATGACTTGTATGGGTCATTCAATAGTGACGTCAAACATTGATGGATGTCAAGTTATTAGACACTATTAATTAAACTGGTGTAAAATAAAATTGATTTAATAAAGGTTTTTTTTTTAATTTTTCACTTCAATTTTTTAATGTCTTCAAATGATATTTTTAATTTAAAACAATTAACAACCAAGAAATATTGAGAGGAAGTCTTAAAAACAATGGTTCGAATGTTAGGAATTCAAATTAAATTTGAATAAATTAAATACTCAATAAAAAATTAACTAAAACTTTAGCTACACAAAAATGTATTTTAGTCCTCAACATTTGATGCTCTAAATTGCTATTCAAACTAATTGCTAGCTGGACTTTGATTTTGAATTAAATACGTGCCAGGCTTTAACTGGCAATCTTTGCAATTGATTTATCTTAGATCGTCCCCATTTGTACCAAATGATTCCATAAATTAAGCATAAAATGATTTCTATGTAATATCCATCAATGTCAATTCGGCACTTTCCATTGATGCTTAGACAGTCTTCTTGTTCACCATGTGTAATGCATGTGTTATTATTTAATTTTGGTGCACTAAAATCACGTTCACTGCCATCAGCTACACAAGACTTCCATGTGATTAAATCAATAACCCATAGAATCAAGGTGTTTGGCCAATTTCCTCCAAGATTGTGCAGTGTATTCAATAAAGTCATGTAAGTTCCTCCAATCTTTGGGTCACTGATTTTAGCAAAGAACGACATTGCTGAGCAAAACATTGCATATAAGAATACTTGATAAAATGAATATGTTACCAATAAAAGGATATAAAAATATATAGGAATGTCATCGAATCTACCGCCAATGATTAAAGGTGTAGCCCAAACGATTGCAGCTGTTACGAGAGTTAACATGAGACGATACGGAATAGCTTTAATGTAGAAATTCATAGGATATTTGCCAGTGATGTGTTTGCTCATTACTAATGGTAACAATAATTGTAGAGGAACTAATGGAACTGCCAAGAGAGCTAACTTTTCTTTCGGTATTCCATGATCAATTAATTTTAATGAAGTAACAGCATCACATGCTGAGAAACTCACTTTGACTGTCAGGAGAATTGTTGCAAGCAACATTACTGGCTTCATTTTAATAATTTTCCAGAGCATGTGATAAGTTTCTTTAATTCCTAAATCTGGATGTTCCTCAAGTTGTTCTCTAGTTTCCTTATTCTCTTTTTTTAAAAATCCAACCAACGTTGTTGTCACCAAAAATGTAATTCCCCAAAAGTAGAGGAATCCAGATAATGTAACTAATCCTTCATCTTTTGGTATCGAATATATGTACTTGTTACAGAATTCTTTTGATTCAAAAGCCATAAACACTACATATCCTAAAAAGTATCCAAATGTCTGTCCTACAGAATTACATGTTGATGCGTGAGAAACATTCCTTCGTTTCAGCATAGATAAAGCCCAACCATCAACAGCAATATCCTGCGTTGCTGCCAAGAAATTTAGTGAGAAGAATATAAGTGTTATTACCGGTACACGTGGCATATTTGCATGACCGTCGCCTAGCCAAGTTGAAACATGCTGAGATAAGATTAGCATGAAGATTCCTATTAAATATTGAGTAGGAATCATCCAGCTTTTTCGTCTACCGATAGCTTTAAAGTAAATGCTATCTACTAGTGGAGCCCATAATAATTTGATCGAAAAAGGCCAGTATGCAAATGAAAACTCTGAAAACACACATAATTCAAATCAGACATTAGTGCAAGATCAATAATGAAGTAGCAAAAACTTTAATCATTGAGCATAACAAAAAATTTAAAGATTTATTTATCAAAATCCAGTTTTAATTACCTGCTTGTTCTTTGTATGATGCTCCACGATTTTGAAGTAACATAGGAATTGCTTGCCCAATCCCCAAAGGTATGCCTTGTAGAACATACAGGAAGAATAGTATGGCAATATTTCCATAATCTCCTCTCAAATCCGATGGCTCATGATTGTCTTGAATATCTGCTGAATTTTGATTTGTTAATAGCTTCTTCCGTTCCAGACTTTCTGTTCTCTTCCTTAACGTCATTACTCGATAAACTTCACCTTAAGTTAGCATGAAATACCTTAGAAAATTAAAGAATTTACTATTTGTTGTGAAAGTGAAGAACACGTAGCTATTTTGAATACGTAAGAAGATCCTCTCCGATACGTAAATAAGCTTTCTCTCTATGTATTTTTAATTTTACGTAAGCAATAAGAACAAAACTTATTCTCATCATGAAATAACTTGTTTATCTTGCTGTAATATGGTTTATTTTGAATTTATTTCCATGATTTTGACTAAGATTTTAATAATTTTAAAACAACGCACGTGGTTAACGTCTTTCAAATAATTTTTTTTGGGTTTTTACTTATTTCAAACTTATGCCCAATTTATTGTTTATGCCTCTTAGAAAACCTTTGGAAAAAAATAATTAATTTTACTGATTCAAACTTTTGTTGTCATAAAAAATTGGTTTAAAAGCAATATTCCCTTACACAATAAACTATAAATTGGAAGAAGTTGTGAATGATTCTGTACGAGCTTTTGGAGGGGTTGAATATACATTCATAATGAAAATACACGACTTGCGTAGAAAGTCAACAGACTTTTATGCCTCTTATTGTAGATTGATGTACATATTGAAGCGTTTTACGTTAAAAATAATAAAAACGTGGTAAAAATTAATTGAAAGTCTTGTGCAAAAATCAGACAAATAATAAGTAGATCAGAAAAAGCTGATAAATCAGGACCAAAAAACATCTTTAATGACTAAAATGAAATTGAAATCAACTACACATTTTGCTTAGCCAAATGTTTAATATTATATTTTAAGCTTAACATAAAGAAGTATTTTATTGGATGCAAGATGTAGAAATGGGCGATTCCATGGGTAAATGGAACTGAAAATTTTTTGTTCAAAAACTTTTTTAGCTTTTTCTGCTTAAATATACATATTTCAACATATCATTTCACTAAATAAGACTTATTATTCATCAATTCATGTGTTATTAGCATTTAATCGTCTTAATTATGCTGCATTTTGACAAAAATATGTAATATGTTTTGCAATAATCGGTTGAAAGTTGACCGATTAAGTGGTGTTTTCCCCAATTTTCTCCTTAATTACAGTAGTAAGACATACAAATAAGATATTGTTATAAAGCACAGGCGATTTCACGTGTGTTTATCATAGATTTGTAACACAACAATGGATATTCAAAGAAATATTGATAAAAATTTAAAAATCAATTTTTTGTAAAGTTGACCGATTAAGTTTGGTTTTTTTAAAATATCTTTTGTCAGACAGATTTAACTAAAAGATTATGCACTAAAATACATAAATACCATAATAATAAATAAAATAAATCTTAAATATGGCGTTAAATGAAGTTAATTAAGGAAATATTTACAAAAAATTGAGTTGAGAAAAAAAAATTCACTCATGGAATCGCCCAAATGTAAAATACTGTAAAATATCTAAAAAATAATTAAATTATGATTTGATCGTATTTCAAAGCAGTTCAAAGTTACTACAAGTAAGTAATGAAAGAGAATTGTCTAGTTTTTCAGACTGCCTATATATTCCAATCATGATTCTTTTGATGCGTATATAAAATCGCTGTAATGTTTGGACACTCATGGGAAAAGATCAACAAAGAGACAATATAGTGACGAGATACTTATTATATCATCAGAGCAAGGATGTTGAAAACAAAGATTAAAATTGTCTGAGATGGTTGTACTTGAAGTTGAAGAGGCAAATTGACTATCGACGTCTGTTCAATCATGAACTGAAATTAAAAAAATTGTTTAAGAATTTACACAACTTGTCTCGTAAAGAGCCCTTTCAAGAAACTGTAGATCCTTCGATTCTCAATTTTCCAATTCTTCATCCTCAATGTGCGTAGTTGAAATGCGACAATCAACCAAATCCTGTAAAAAAATGAAAATCACCCAGAACATGGATAATAATTCTCAGCTGCTTGTTTTCATGGTTAGTATAAGTTCCATAGAAGAAGCATCATGCCTAGTTGGAAGTTCCAAAATTTTAGAATCAGAATATCGAACTGACTAGAACTTTGACTATTGATATTGATTCTAGCAACTTAATTTGAAAAAAAAACTTTATTTCTGGACGATCATGCCTTTTTGCTGCCAATTACATCATCGACGGCTGAAGAAACGAATACTGAATTGCTAAACTATGAATTAAGATCATAAAATACATGCTTTCAAAAAAGTGGATTGATCTTAAGAAACCGGAAGAAGCCTATTCAAAAATCCAACAGACCAATTAAATATATCATTAGTCTGAATATACCGACTTTACAAATCATATTGGAATTACATTCTACTTATTATAATCCATGTGACAGCCAAGTGTATAAACTTATGTTGATTTTAATACAATAAAATCATTACGTACGTTTTACTACTCTCTCACGTGGCTCTCTTACGTGTTTAGCATTTTTTTAGAAACTGATGCTGAAAGTAGCATAATTTTGTCGGTGAATATACAAAGCGAAAAGGGTCTGAAAATTATTATTTGAAAATATTTTAGAGTTCATGACAACTCTTGTTGACTACGGACATTTAATCATCAATTAACATGAAACTATTTGTTACCTGTCAGATGCTTTTAGAGCCAATAATATTTCACTAGCAGGATTGCGCTTTTATAGATAGAAACCAATAAATGTTTCGTACTTCCTGATTTCATTCATAATTTTTCTCGCTGAAAATTTCCTTCAGTTGTCTTCAAAACTTCGTCGTGATTATTCGAAAAAAAGGATTTTTTTTTTCTCAAAAATTTCGAGTATCGCAGAAAATTATTTAAACAAGCAAAACAGAACTTGGTGATCGTGACACCAAGTTGAACATAAATCTGGTGACTTAAATGTGTACAAATAAACAACTTTGATGTGATTTTTACTTTTAAAACACACCAAAAAAAGTCTTTTTGATTTTTTATACTTTCCTATCATCAAAATAATATTTCGTACCGAAATGGCGATAAATTTAACTATTTATAATTGGAAACTCCTTGTCCTATTATTATCAGTTTATGTACAAACTGTTACATCATTGTGGGGTGAGTAAAAATTTTGTGTGTAAAGAAAATCAATTTTTTCGGGAAATTTCACTCTTTAGAGAAGAAAAAAGGCTGAAAAAAGAAAACTACAAATATATTGAAAAAGCATGTGGTCTCATAAGATAATACAGTGCCTAAATTACAGGAAAATTGCATAACAACAAAATTTGATCAAACATAATCAACATATATTGGGTAGTGCGTAAAAGAATTAACTTAAAATTAAGTGATTATGCAACAACAGATTTGTTATCTGGCGATAGAAAATACTATTATAGTAATTTAAGGTGCTCGATAAAGGCTTACCAGACAGAGGAAAATGTGTAGCGATATAATCCTCTTTTGAGTAGCATAAATAAACGAATTATCAAAATAATCGATCGTTGCGTGTGAATGAATATGAGTAGCTATGCTGCATTTATCTTATAAGATGCCTTTTTCACATAAATGCACAATTATCTTTTATAGCCAGCCAATAAGAATGTATAACACATGCACTTCGTCACTGTGTCTGTAGTCACGTAGACCAAAGAACGAAATTACACAAATTCAGGCAATCCATCATAAATAGTGCTTGATTGCATATTAAATGCTTGTACAAGCATACAAATGCACTATATATATGCCGGTTTTGGAATCAACAAAATAAACCTATACAGGCTTTGTGCATATTCAGCTTCTCTTCTCATTCATATGTCGTCTTAACATACTGATTATACATTCAATATATTTTGATTCAACACGTGCCATTCATTGATTCCTCAACTTATTAATTGAGCTTTATTAAACAAATTTATTAAATTTTTGTTTCTGATTTTCGTCCTCTAAATGGTGAATACAGAAATTTCTTGAGATTGATAGGCGAAACAAAATAGTAGAAAGGTCACCGTACGACAGATTATGAAAACAAAGTTTTTGCAGCAACTGAAAATTCTCGAATCAAACGAGACATTGAGCATTCAAACAAAATTTAACGACTAGCTTAATTATTTCTTTTATTGCACCTTGATCCATCTTAAATGCTAATATTGAATTAAGAGACGATTAGAATAAGTCTAAGGAATCAGATGGAAATAACAAGAATAATCCAGAAATTCCACTCTTCGGGTTATGTTTATGACATTCAGTCAGAAATTCGTGTGGCTATCAAAAATGCTCAATGACATTCAAAATTGTAATTTCTTTAGTGATAAGTGATGATAGTACCAAACAGATTTTATACATCCACAAATTCAGATGACCTAAGTGAAATTAATGAACCAAAAATGTTGATGACGAGCATGCTTATTTATTTAAAAAGTATGAAGAGAGTGAGATTAGGTAATGATTCGAAAGAAAAGCAAAATTGAGGCACAATTATGACCTTCAAGTGGAAATTTAACTTTCCAAATAATGACAATCAGCTCTGTAACATGATATACTCTATTATAGAGTAATTTACTGTATTACTGTAACTTCCTTATGTAAAAAATTTGAAGAATGTGATCTAAATCTATAAGTGCAAATTCAATTCCTAATTAGTAAGTTTTGATAGCTTTTAGAAGCACTCCGCTTAATATCGTCCCAAATTGATCAAAAAACTTGAAGTTCCTCTTTGTTTTCTTATTAAGTGTGCGATATTCTGGTTTCTACCGATTACGTTATCATCACATTTTGAAACACTTTTTAGAAACTTTTTTTTCTTCAGGAATATCAAGGTATTATAAACTGCGCATTTTAGCGGGTTTAAAGTTCTATTTAATGTGCTTAATAGAATTTCCCAAATATTGATATTTTAAAAACAATGTGAGCTTGTTCATTAACATTTTTTTTAAACTTTCAATAGAGTAATTAAAGCAGACGTAATCCATTTGAGATCCAATGGCTTAATCTCGGGTTAATTACTGCGAGAAACTTTAATTTTATTTTTAAAAACTTTATTTTGACAAAAATTGTCATGTTCACATGTTGTGATTACACGAGAAAAATTATTATCAAATTTATTGCCAATAACTTTTTACATTGACGAGCATAAGATAAGGAAAGAAGGCACAAGGTTATTGAGTATTGCTAATTAATTTCAGCACATCATTTAATTACCTTGAATTATTAAATTTTTTAAAGCAGAGTGGATCAATGGTTTGAGTATTTCAGCATAGGTATGAGAAATTTCGAGATGCTCTTCAAAACTATAATGTATCTACAGACTTAAATTTACATCTAACGGTTTTTAATCATAATTTTTTAATTTTATGCTTACAAAATTTCATTTCAATTTTAAAAAGTCGTAAAAATGATAAAATTAAGTTGTGGCAAAACATACACGAATCCTCCTCGGCGACTTTTAAATAATAATAATTTAAATTTTTGATAATTCAGCTTTATCAATTCTCAATTAATTTTTGTGTGTCTCAAATTGGCAATATTTTGTTTTTAATTTTCATCAATTAAGCTTTCAAGACTATTCCAGCCACAACCACAGAAAAAACGAGAATTTAGATTCATTATAAGCTGTGCTTGACCTAGGGCAATTCATTCTTCTTATTCTATTTATTTTTATTTATTGTTGTTAATGGTTGACGTTCCAAAAGAACTAAACGCAAACTTTTCAAACCTTGGATATTTCACGGTCAATGCTGTTTGAGACACAATAAATTCATTATAATCGAATTTATAAAAGCTCAATTTTTGGTCGCATTTACTGCAATCCTTTACGAGCAGCAATGAATCTGCTATATCTAATAAATCATACTTGCTTATCTTTTCAGAATATGCTATTTGCACAAAACAAAATATAATTTTCTACGACACTAATTGGAATGAGGTAGCAGAAGCGGCGAGTAAAAACTTTGAGAACTTAAAGGCAATAACCTACGATACAACACATAATGTTTTCTATTTTACTGATCGTCATGGTGATGTAACGTACATCAATAGCTTAAAGCTTAGAAATGATGGATCATGGACATCGAAGATACTAATAGAACTGAATGAGAAGGAAATGATTGAAGACATTGTCTATGATTTTAACGATGATATTCTGTTCCTTAGTGATAAGAGGAAAATTCTAAAAATTTCTTTTGACAGAACTGATTCAGAAAATGTAAAGCCAATAAAAGAAATCTTTCTAAACATCACGAATGGATCACCATCTGGCCTAGAACTTGACACATGTAAAAGACATTTGTATTATACAATTTTATCAGGATCATCCACAATCAATTCAATTTCAATCAAAGACATGCAAAATGAAATCATCTGTAAAAACTGTGAGAAATATCGTCCAAATGCCATTGCTATGGACCCAAGAACTGATCGAATTTACATTGCTGATAAAAAATCAAATGTCTATTACATTAATTCCTTCACATCAGATAGTGACTTTAAACAAGAATTAAAGGCAATTGACAAAACACCAAGAAGCATAGCTGTTGATCATGAATATGTTTATTATGTTGATGGAAGTGAGCACAGTTTGAGAAGGCTTTTAAAGCACCGAAAGAATGATGAAATTTCAGAGTTTATGATAAAGTTTAAGCAAGATCCAACAGATATTATTGTTAAAAGTAGCTTCATTGATGCTATTAATGTTGATTTAGAGAAATGTGACATTACTAAAGAAAGACTAGAGGAAGTTATGAAGAGAAAAGATGATGTGAAAAGGGAAGAAGTTGTTTGTCAAAAAGCATCACTTACAAAGCCAAAAAAGACATGCCTTCATGGTGGAATCTTCGATGAGGATTCATCAAATTGCATTTGTAAGGATTCACGCTATGATGGAGATAACTGCGAAATAGATTTGTGCTACAACTTCTGTATGAATGGAGGAGAATGTTCAGTTGAAATTGACACTAGACCTGTTGCTAAATGTTCGTGTACAAAAGGATTTATTGGCGATCGCTGTGAAATTGATGTTTGCCTAAATTATTGCTTTAACAATGGAAAATGCAGCGTAGATTCAATGAAAAGACCTGTTTGTGAATGTACAAATGCCAACAGTGGAAAAAGATGTGAAAATGATCATTTTGTAGAACAACCTGTTGAAATTGCAACAACAAAATCGATACGTACAACAACAGAAGAAGCAGATGATGACGATGAGCGTGAAAACAGGAATATGATGAAATGTCCTGTACGAATGAATCTCACTTATGTCATTCTTGGCGTTTGTTTTACACTGTCATTGCTATTCTTCCTTATAATCATGTTGGTTATTCATCGCTTACATAAGCCTGTTAGACCAAAAATCCGTAAGAAGTATGTCGTCCATAAAAATATTGAGCCATTAACTTGTCGTCCAACAACAGAGCAATGTGAAGTCATCATTGAGGATTGCTGTAACATGAACATTTGTGAAACTGTAAGATCTTAGATTACTAGCATTCCAATACTTTTATATTAATATTTTTTTCTCGCTTCCTTTTAGCCATGCTTTGATCCAAAAATCCTCCAGCAAGAGATCAATGAAAAGAACATCAAAGTGAAATTGACAACGAGTAAAAAATGCAGCAGTAAAGAAGACAAACAGGATCTACTGAACAATATGGAACATAATCAATGAGATTTAATGAAACTTACTTTAAGCAACATGGACATGCCTTTTTTTGATCCAATATAAAGAGAAAATATGTTAATGATTTAGTGCAGGAATTAATCATGGAATCCGAAATACTTCAAAACTCGCAAATAATTTTAATTATTATTTTTTTTTCTTACTTTCAAACGTACAGTACTTCCGAAAAGTTTACTTAATATTTTTGTGGCAACCCAAACCAAATGTAAAATAATTTTACCGTACATAACGACTCAATTTTTCTGGTCTTTTATAAACACTTATTTTGCCAGTAATCTTTTCCAGTTTTTCGTTTTCTTCCTTTAACACTTATAACAAGTTCTTGTGAGCTTTTTTAATACATTTTTTGACACATTGGATAGTCGGCAAATTGTACAATAATAAAATGTAGATACTTAATGCCTGAAAATTTGTTAAACGATAATATCCAGTAGATTTGTTGTAGATATTAATTCAAGGAAGAATTGTTCATATATGTTATAAATAAAATTAATGAGACTGACTGTGATTTCATCGACATAAGATGTGTCATGCTCACAAAAGGTTTTTTGAAAACATTTTGAGCGCGTCAATAAATATATTATAAAGAAACATGACATTTGCTGGTATTATTTAATTAATGCGATCGTTAATTTGCAGCACAAATTTCAGCTGATTATCATGAGAGTCCAAATAACAAAATAGTTATAAAAAAAAACTTTTTAAAAAACCACGTTTTTCCCGTGGACTAAAAAGTAGAAAATAACTTTTTTTTTGGGTTATATAGAAATTGGTTTCAAATTTTCAGATTATTTTTGATAAAATTTTATATCCTAGTCAATATCGTTCACACAATTTCGAATATGTACACCTTGATCTTATCGTATAACTCAACAAACAAAAACGTGGGCGCATTCAGTTAAGTTAAGTATAAAGTATTGTGTTTGCACTATTCTGACTGAGGCATCATCAACTATAATACCTATTTATGTTTTAAAATGCAATTTAAAGTATTTTTGGTTCTGATCAAAGAAGGCTATTTTCAAAAAAATATCGATTTTATATCTATATTAGCATTCTTTATCATTTATAATACCTAGATATGTTTTAAAATGCAATTTAAAGCCTTTTTGGTTTTGATCATAGAAGGCTATTTTCAAAAAAATATCGATTTTATATCTATATTATCATTCTTTATCATTTACAATACCTAGATATGTTTTAAAATGCAATTTAAAGCCTTTTTGGTTTTGATCATAGTAGGCTATTTTCAAAAAAATATCGATTTTATTTCTATATTATCATTCTTTATCATTTAAAATACCTAGATATGTTTTAAAATGCAATTTAAAGCATTTTTGGTTTTGATCATAGTAGGCTATTTTCAAAAAAATATCGATTTTATATCTATATTAGCATTCTTTATCATTTATAATACCTAGATATGTCTTAAAATGCAATTTAAAGCATTTTTGGCTTTGATCATAGTAGGCTATTTTCAAAAAAATATCGATTTTATATCTATATTAGCATTCTTTATCATTTAAAATACCTAGATATGTTTTAAAATGCAATTTAAAGCATTTTTGGTTTTGATCATAGTAGGCTATTTTCAAAGAAATATCGATTTTATATCTATATTAGCATTCTTTATCATTTATAATACTTAGATATGTTTTAAAATGCAATTTAAAGTATTTTTGGTTTTGATCATAGTAGGCTATTTTCAAAAAAATATCAATTTTATATCTATAATAGCATTCTATATCATTTATTATACCTAGATATGTCTTAAAATTCAATTTAAAGCATTTTTGGTTTTGATCATAGGAGGCTATTTTCAAAAAAATATCGATTTAATATCTATATTAGCATTCTATATCATTTATAATACCTAGATATGTCTTAAAATGCAATTTAAAACATTTTTGGTTTTGATCATAGGAGGCTATTTTCAAAAAAATATCGATTTTATACCTATATCAGCATTCTATATCATTTATTATACCTAGATATGTCTTAAAATGCAATTTAAAGCATTTTTGGTTTTGATCATAGTAGGCTATTTTCAAAAAAATATCGATTTTATTTCTATATTAGCATTCTATATCATTTATTTTATCTAGATATGTCTTAAAATGCAATTTGAAACATTTTTGTTTTGGATCATAGAAGGATTTTTTTCAAAAAAATATCGATTTTATACCTATATCAGCATTCTATATCATTTATTATACCTAGATATGTCTTAAAATGCAATTTAAAGCGTTTTTGGTTTTGATCACAGTAGGCTATTTTCAAAAAAAAATCGATTTTATATCTATATTAGCATTCTTTATCATTTATAATACCTAGATATGTTTTAAAATGAAATTTAAAGCATTTTTGGTTTCGATCATAGTAGGTTGTTTTCAAAAAAATATCGATTTTAAATCTATATTAGCATTCTATATCATTTATAATACCTAGATATGTCTTAAAATGCAATTTAAAACATTTTTGGTTTTGATCATAGGAGGTTTTTTTCAAAAAAATATCGATTTTATACCTATATCAGCATTCTATATCATTTATTATACCTAGATATGTCTTAAAATGCAATTTAAAGCATTTTTGGTTTTGATCATAGTAGGCTATTTTCAAAAAAATATCGATTTTATATCTATATTAGCATTCTATATCATTTATTTTATCTAGATATGTCTTAAAATGCAATTTGAAACATTTTTGTTTTGGATCATAGAAGGATTTTTTTCAAAAAAATATCGATTTTATATCTATATTAGCATTCTTTATCATTTATAATACCTAGATATGTTTTAAAATGCAATTTAAAGCATTTTTGGTTTTGATCATAGAAGGCTATTTTCAAAAAAATATCGATTTTATATCTATATTATCATTCTTTATCATTTACAATACCTAGATATGTTTTAAAATGCAATTTAAAGCCTTTTTGGTTTTGATCATAGTAGGCTATTTTCAAAAAAATATCGATTTTATATCTATATTATCATTCTTTATCATTTAAAATACCTAGATATGTTTTAAAATGCAATTTAAAGCATTTTTGGTTTTGATCATAGTAGGCTATTTTCAAAAAAATATCGATTTTATATCTATATTAGCATTCTTTATCATTTATAATACCTAGATATGTCTTAAAATGCAATTTAAAGCATTTTTGGCTTTGATCATACAGTAGCGTGCAAAATATTATGGACGGTCAAAAAAAATTCGTTTTTATTTTCAAAAGCATACTTATCGTTGTCCAATTTAGATGAAATTTTCACCACTTATACTGTTTTTCATGTGTTTTCACATGATAAAATATAAATATGCTATAATTAATAATTTTTGAAAAAACCGTTAAAATTCAAAATCAGGTGCGTGCAAAATATTATGGACGATTCTTTTTTGGTAATTTTTTTTATGTTTAAGCTATTTAAGCTTACTTTTTAAACTTTAAACATGAAGTTCAAACATTTTACTCCAATTTTATACATTCTTAATGGATGTGTAGCAAGTTTAAGGCATAAAAAAATCATGATGAAAAATTATGCAAATATTTTACTATTTTTGTTACTTTTCATCAATAGCAAGCATTAATATCGGTTATTTTAGACTGTAATGTATTGAATTCTTAACTATCTTTCTATTGATATATAATTTGTCTGTATTAATATAGTCTAAATGAAAAAAATTACGAAAAAAGTTCATTGAAGAGGGAAAAATTTCATCAACAAAAATATAAATTGATTAAAATTTCTTAAATATCCATGAAATATTACCCAATTTAGTCTTATTTTCTCACATATATGTTGTAGATTAGTAATTAGGTAGAATTACATTTTAATATTGCACGATAAGATATATTTTTATGAGCCAATACTATGAAAAAAGTCATGTTGAAACTTGAAAAATATTTCATAATATTTTTTACATTTTATGCAGTATAAATTTATGTAAATCAATTAAAAACAACTCAAAATACTCTTTGCCAACTATTTAAGCCAAAAACAAGAGAGAAAAATGCATATTTAAAAGTTTAATGACAAATATTTTTTTCGTCTTTAAAATTTTCTTTTGGTCATACAGAAGGCTCTCTTTTTATGACTTTATTACTCAAAATATAAATTTATAACTGCTCAATTACTAATCTACAACATAAATGTGAGAAAATAAGACTAAATTGGGTAATATTTCATGGATATTTAAGAAATTTTAATCAATTTATATTTTTGTTGATGAAATTTTTCCCTCTTCAATGAAGTTTTTTCGTAATTTTTTTCATTTAGACTATATTAATACAGACAAATTATATATCAATAGAAAGATAGTTAAGAATTCAATACATTACAGTCTAAAATAACCGATATTAATGCTTGCTATTGATGAAAAGTAACAAAAATAGTAAAATATTTGCATAATTTTTCATCATGATTTTTTTATGCCTTAAACTTGCTACACATCCATTAAGAATGTATAAAATTGGAGTAAAATGTTTGAACTTCATGTTTAAAGTTTAAAAAGTAAGCTTAAATAGCTTAAACATAAAAAAAATTACCAAAAAAGAATCGTCCATAATATTTTGCACGCACCTGATTTTGAATTTTAACGGTTTTTTCAAAAATTATTAACTTTAGCATATTTATATTTTATCATGTGAAAGCACATGAAAAACAGTATAAGTGGTGAAAATTTCATCTAAATTGGACAACGTTAAGTATGCTTTTGAGAATAAAAACGAAATTTTTTTGACCGTCCATAATATTCTGCACGCTACTGTAGTAGGCTATTTTCAAAAAAATATCGATTTTATATCTATATTAGCATTCTTTATCATTTATTATACCTAGATATGTTTTTAAATGCAATTTAAAGCATTTTTGGTTTTGATCAAAGTAGGCTTTTTTCAAAAAAATATCGATTTTATATCTTTTTTAGCATTCTTTATCATTTATAATACCTAGATATGTTTTAAAATGCAATTTAAAGCCTTTTTGGTT